TTCATTAGCTTCTGAGTAAGTCAGTTTAATACTTATACTGTTACCAGAAATACCTCAGATTTCCACTCCAGGGGTTGGCAGGCAAAACATTATTATGCCAACAAGATGGTGGATAAAAGATATGATAAGAATTTATTGTTATGTTAATATTTTACAGATGAATTTGTTGACATTACAATAATGCAAGAGAAGGGTCAAGAAACGTACCCAGTTGGTCTTTGTATTTATCCGGTAAGTTACGTAATTGTTCATGTATTTAAGCAACTGTTAGGTAGCTTGATTTTATACCTTTATTTAAGCTAAAGCATTTTTCTGTAAGATATGTTTTCTGTGAACTTAAAAAAAACATGCGTAAGGGATTTCAGTTACCTGAACCTCTCGAGCAATCTTGAGACCCTGAAGGTTGCAGTAGATAATTACGTTGGAATAGGGAAACTTTTTTAACAAAACCAAATCTTAGTAGATAAAAATGACCAGAATAAATGGACAGTTTAATATTCAAATACTGTAGTATTCAACCTTTACTAATTTTATAAAAAAAAATTTCTTAGAAATAAAATACTTATTTTTATGATGTTTTCAGTGCAGTCACCGTTCTTTCTACACACTACTGCGGCATATGTTGGCTTAAAACACATTTATGAGCTTCGCCATGACAAAACAAACATAATGCGTTTGCGACCAGCATGGATCCAGACCAGCCTGCGCATCCGCGAAGTCTGATCAGGATCCATGCTGTTCGCTATCAGTTTCGCTACTTGTTATAGGGTTTTTAAGCGAACAGCATGGATCCTGATCAGACTGCGCGGATGCGCAGGCTGGTCAGGACCCATGCTGGTCGCAAACGCATTATGTTGGTTTTGTCGTGACTTGGCTCAAATTTTGACTTCACATCAGTATTCATATTGAATTTTACTGCGCATTTTATTAGTAGACTTTTAAAGGCTAATGCAAAGTATGTTGACAAGTAAACAGTTTAGAATTTGTATTTGTAAATTAGAAAATATATAGAGATAAAGTAAATTTTTAAATGGTATATTACACACAGATGGACCCAGGTTATGACATAGAATGTGGCGATCAGCATCAACAGTATCTGTATTCACAACATGACAATTGTCCCAGGACGTTGGAAGGGGATGTGGGTGCTTTTGTAATGGGTAAGTTAATCTCTAAATGATATCTAGCAAAAGATGATTTTACCTCTTTTCTTGCAAAAATCAGTATATGTTACTTTGTTTTTGGAATTGTACGTTATTTTTCATGGAATTTAAATAAAAAGACAAGTTTTGTTCCGAGACAAGGTAAGTATATGGCCGGGTGGATCCTCGGTTGTCTAGGTTTTCAGTAAGCGGGTTCCTTTTCCATGAAATTGTGTCAAGTCTCTTGTCTTATTATGATACTTACAGGAATGTTATCAATGTACAAATATAGGTTACCATTTTACATGTACCATAGACCGTCAAGGGAATATGTATGTATATAGAAACTACAAATAGACAAAATACTTCTTCCAAAGGAGGTTAACTACATTATCTTAGCGACATGATTTTAGTATATGTTTTGCGATAACTAGTTCAATGATATTTCCAAACTCGTTATTTATTATTGACTTCCGCAAACTGTAAGCATACTGTTTAGGAATTTGTCCCCACCCCATTTGGGAACATTGGCTATGCTTCTTATCTATTGCGGTTAGGGATTAAGTTTGAACAAAATTGAGAATTTTAAAACAGTTTTTATTTGTATTTTACTTTTATGTTTTGATTTTATTAGGCTCGTCGGTAGAAATACAGCACAAACTTCCGCCTGGACAATATTTTGCTCTGTTTCATTTGGACGGTGATCAGCAAGAGAAAAGATTTGCTGTTATAATCAGATCATCATGTCACTTACAAACAAAGTGAGTTCATTTTGAATACACGTATATATTGTCTTACACTTAAGACGTTAGTATCTCGAAATTGCCATGTTATATATTGGAGAATAACAAAACTGAGTCTTTAAACTACTATATTGAATTCGAGTTTAAGCATGTAGATGAGCTGTTACCGCTTAATTAAAGCGAGTGATCCTTAGCTTTGTTTGATTGAAAATTCTATATAACACTTGTCTTGAGTGAAATCGTGAAATTGGAGAACTTTTAAAAATAATACATTCATGACCGTTTTAAAATAAAACCCATACATTTTTACCGCTTTAAGTGTAAAAATGAAATGTATGTGCCCACTAAATCTACATAACGGAATCAATTTGTATAAAGTTTCGCTCGATTTGATAATAACTGCATCTTAGAAATTCGGTTGTCTTTAACGAAGTAAGATTTTTTCTTGTTTGTTTCAGGAAACACCATGTAGAATAGACGCAGGAACGTTCGGGAGTGGAGTACCAAGTTTACACTGCTGCCTGTCCTACCAAAGTTGCGCATGCGCAAACTATTAGCCTTAGCCAACTTATTATCGTAATCTGTTCGTAGCGTTCTATAAAAAATTATTTATTGAAAACTATACAAAAGTTATTTATTGAAAAGCAGTTTCACTAGTATAGAATTCTTCATACAATGTATATTGAAATACAGACTGTTTGCAATATTGAAATAGATAAACATACTCATTTATTGAAATAAATTTATTAGGCTTCATTTACGCGTTCTGTATTTCATGTCTAAAATACATTAACATTGCTGTTAAAAGCTATTTATAGTGATAGAATTTTATCATTTATGTGAAATTAGTTGAAAAGTAAAAGCATTCTGTGATGTAAAATTTGTGATACTAGTAATAATTATTTTTTATTGATAAGTTATGATTTTGCATTTTTTTTTTTATTTTATCAAACATACAACATGGACGACGCAAGGTACGTGAAAAGGAACTACCAAACTTGTCAGTAACTTTGAAACATTGATTTCCTTTGTTTGTTGATTTATACCTGTTACAGCATTAAAATTTTCGTCTTCTAACAAAAGGCAAAATCAATTTTTTAATCTCGGTGTTCAGATAAATACAAACGTATTTGTCAACCATTATTTCTAAAAGGGTACAATAAACAAAATCAATTATAGTTATCATTGTGGCTTCTTCATTCACTTCTCGTTATTAAATCAACTGACTTGTGTAACATATCGGTTAATATCAGTATTTACTAATGGGATAGTAACATATATTTATTGATCAGTCTTCTAGGCAATGTTTCATGCCAAATATATAAGCTCTGGACATATTATAGTTTTCTAGTAAAAGTGTTTAGATGTTTTTTATACATTATTCTCCTTAAAGCATATGGCCCCATGGTAGGGCCAATTTCAAGCTAATGATCAAAGTTGAAGACGCATTATGCTGTAGAAATGCTTTTTTCAAAAGCCTTTTTATTTTATATTTTGTGTACATTTATAGTTTCCAAAAAGCTACCCTTTGCCCGATTATCTGAAAGTATGGAAGTCAAAATACTATTTTGTTCACACTTTACTACTTTAATGAAAAATAATTTTAAAATACTTCCTTCATGTAACAAGCATCTAACATGCTCTGAAATCATTATTAAAAAGTTATAATACACGTTTGCCCTTCCTGAAGATGTAATGATTCGTTTCAGAGGCATAATTTACCTTTAATATAACTTTCGCAAAATACTAAAAATTGATGCTACATGCGGATTGTCAAATATCTAAGCTCTGAGTTTTGTATTTTAAGAGTAAAGTATTTCAAAATATAGTAATTATTGAAGTCAACCCGCGGGTTGAGGCCAATATTGACCTCAAGGTTACTGTTTATATCAGTTTTATGGAGGTCTGAAGTGCATTACTTTAAATCTATGTTAATCAAGTTACTTTATGGACAGGGTCAATATTGGCGCAATATGCAATATACTTATTTTAATTTTATGGAGTTCCACATTGCAGTGGTACATACAAAATAACTGAGCTCTTATAATTTTAGATTAATACAATAAGACTTAAAATTTAATGTGATTTCCTATATAAGTTTATATTTACAAAGTGGCCTATTGGACGAGCCCCATTATGACACAAGGGACATAATGAATATCAATTTCTAGAAGGGTACAGTGCTATACTATCAAACCTGCGGTCTGCATATTGTTATTAGTTACATTTCTGTCAACTACTTTCAATTTTCTTTCTTTCGTTCAAAAGAAACAGAGCGGGCAAGACATTGCTAACAGGCTGACGGACGACCAGATGCATAAGACATTTTTCGGGCGTGTAATAAACATTTTTATTTGTTTCCATTTCTTATTTTGTGGTCAAGCATTTCGAACTCTTAACCCGTTGAATTGGAAAGTGACTAGCCTCTGCCACCAGTATAGAGCTAGACCAGCCCGCACATCCGGTCAGTCTTGCTAGGCTGACAAACTTTACATTTCCATCATCATATTCCCAAACTTGACAATTGGCAGGTCGAGAATTAAGATATGTCGTCAATTGAAGGAGCATTGAGAGGGTTATCGTTTAAACAGAGACCACGTTATCTAATAACAACCCGTCTCTGAGGACCACTTTAAATCCTTATTTCATTTTATAAATTTAGTATTATTAAATAGGTCTAGCTTTAAAAGTGTGGTTGTGTCAACAGTAGAGAATTTACAATTAACACACATTGCAACATAAGCCAACGAACAGTAAAAATAACGAAAAAGAACGATTTATTTAGGATTATTAGAATTCTCGTTAAAATGAAGTACAATTTTGGTATAATAACTGTGTCTTTATACGAAATTAAACTTTTCCCCCAAAAGAAATATAGAAAAACATGTTTGATACTATCCTAAGATAAATTACGTTACTTTCAGGCCTTTCTGTAAATACAACTTATCCCGAACACGTTGTCATACAAAAAGCAAAAGCTAACACAATAATTTGCGAGAATTAGTGCAAAATAAATAGCAAAATAAATTAAATGGCATATTTCAACACTTTTCAAGTCTGTAATGACGTCATATTCGTTCATAGTGAAATAATAAGTTGCACGATTCTTCTTAAATTTACATCAAGTCTTTATCGTGTTTATGATTTACATGTGTTTCTTTAATGCAACCGATTCGTTTAGGAATGTCTTAGTAAATATCCAGAAAACGTAGAGAGACCATTTCCGGAAATGGTACTTGAATCTCCAAATGGCCACAACTTTTTTACAGATACTTTTTCACCTTTCTTTAAAGATACAATGGCTGTACCACCATTTTGTGTGCGCCCGCAGTATAAACTTCTTCCGCCGCTTAACGTTCGCTTCCGGTGATCACATACAGAGTTGAGAATGTCTCTTTCGGGCCCCTTTTCGTTGCGTATTTCAACGTTAGTTACCAGGTAACTATCTCTCTCACAGGCTATATTTAATGACAGAAGGTATGTTCCAGATGTGGGGCAGGTGAACTCCGAGTTTACTTTATTATAAGCTCCACCCATATTTTCTACAATCCTGTCGAATTTTATCTTATTGCCATAACCTACTGTGACGTCATTATCCAATGTAACATGAAATCCCTTCTCATCCCCTGCAAGATTGATTATTAAATAATTAAGGTAACAACAAACAAGGCGGCCTACAGGCAATGAAAAGTATACATAAGATATGACTCATTTTCATTTCCTACTATGACCAACAAAGTATGCTTGCGATATTTTATTTATCTTATTTATTTGCCAAAGGATACATGTAGGCGGACACTGGCGAGGTCAAGCTGTTTTAATGAGATATGTTTTACATTTGATGTGCAGACGCATTTATCACGGATGGTACAATATCCAAGGTAATTTATCGCTAAAGTATAAAAATGTCTTAAATATAAATCTTCCCGTTTCAATTTATCAGTAATAGCGACGATGAAAAATCAGTATTCATTTTAAAATTGATTTCAAGTTTGCCTTCAAGATATCCGTATATACTCTATATATTTGAAGCTTCCTAATCAGTTAAATTTTATAACCGCCAATGTATCACACTTGCTCAATAAACCAAACATTGTTTATAATAAATATATCGTTAATATATTGTAAGTTATACCAGCAGAAAAGACTACATTTTATTGCAAACGTTTGATTCGTAGCAGGGTCTGATTTAGTGTACTTGTACCTCTTATATTGTTTTGTTTTTACTTATGTTTTAATATTGTTGTTTTTTTTATAATGGTGATTCACTTTATTGTTGTTGTTATTTTATAATATAAATAACGTTTAATAAACCTTTGTATATTAAAAACAAAAACGTTGCTTATGTTACTTCACTGACGACTAGGACGGGAAAGTTTGTTTTAAATTTTTTATGTTGTTAATCTGCACATGTATATTTCATTGTACTGTTAAATATGTAATATGTAATACATCTATTTCAGCGAAGATAACAATTTCATCGTCGGTTAACATGTTACATAATATGTATAAATCAATGATAATATTAATGGTTCGGCTGTGGGTATCCGACGATGAGGAATTTAAACTTAATAAAACACCTTCATCTATTGAACATGTTTATAGTACATCTCACATAAGCTGCAGTCTTTGTTAATATAAATAATCGGACGAGTTTCATACATTTTATATTCATATTACCAGACGTAAAACATAATGACATAATTATAACGATAGTGATGATGATAATGATGACGACAACGACAACGACGATGATGATAACGACACCGACGACAATTATTATGTTTTTTGCTGTCTAAGTAGTTGTTATCGCATTTGTTAATATTATTATACATTTACTTACCAGAGTTTCCGAGTGTGAAACCTTCCAACATATTTAATGGCAAAGGAACATCCGGCAAGGCAGTTGTCGGGGTTATTGTATTCGTATAAGAATTACCTGCAAATAAAAACAATAAAGATGAAAAGATTGAAGAGATACGACAGAGATTGACTTAGATACCTCTATACTATAATTATAAAAAATAATGACAGGTTATAAGGCCCTATATAAACGGTTCTTTGCATATATAACCCGAGCAGCTAGAATAAATATCTACAGCGTTTTCAATGGATGACAAATAAAGCTAGACACTAAGTTTATATAATGATTTTTATAGAATTGCATAGTTTTTTCACGCTCCTCTCGGCTCAGTCTAGTCGTTCGGTTTGTTGACGTCATATAAATGTGTATGACGTCATATGACGTTAAGCATTTGTATTTTTGATGTGCATGTATCGTGTAATAATGCACTTGATTGCCATATCTGTGTGATAGGGTTTAACGTCACACCGACACAGTATACTAAGGTCATATGGCGACGTTCAAACTTTACTGCTGGAGGGAGACCTCATATGCCCTTCCGTGCATTATTTCAGGCATAAACGGGCACCACAGTAGAACCACTGACGTTCCACAAGCTAGCTAGATAGCTTCTGATACGAAAAATCCAAGGTCCTTGCCAAGATTCGAACCCACAGCGGTGAAGGGAAAGTGGTGTTAAAATTGTGAATTTACGGAGATGAAATCAGGAATTCATAAAGTTGAAATGTCTCCACCGGACTGTCGCAATAGGCCTATTTCTACATCATCAACGGTGCACATTTTCTTATTTAAATAACATAATAATTTCAGACTAAGTTTGATTGAGTCTGTACACAAGATATAATGAATAAATGTAACATTCCTAACGACCCAATCACCGGAACCAATAATCTCGGAGGACCAAAAAATATTTTAATATTGAAGTGAAGTACGGGGAGTAACTTTTTACAGCTGTCAGTCACACGGCACTTGACATCAGCTGTTGAGAAAAATCTGAAAGAAGGGTTATCCCTTGGAAAGCTTGTAACATAGGTATAAATATTTACATACCAGCTTGTGAATTCTGAATTTCAACTAGTTGTTTAACGGCTATCTCCAGGTCTCGGACACGGGTAAGAAGGTTATGTATAGTAAGCTCGGTCATCTGTTGCACTTGACATCCTGCCATATATACAGACCCTAGTAGCAAAGCAAGCTTGAAATAGCCTTCCATTGTTATCAGTAGCCTGAAAATAAAATCATTTCAAACACTTTAATTTCGCTTACAATTTTTAAGTATATGTTAGTGTTCATCCGTGCTGTTCTACAGAAATTAGAAACTTCGACGGAAGCAATAGCGACCGGAGAATGTTTCTAATTTTTGTAGAACATCTACGGATGAATACTAACATATTTAGTGTCAAACTTTATTTGACCTAATTAATATTCACTTTATTATGCCACCAACAGTCTGCTTTATTAAACAAATTACCTAAGTATATGTTATTGTTCATCCGTGCTGTTCTACAGAAATTAGAAACTTCGACGGGAGCAATAGCGACCGGAGAATGTTTCAAATTTCTGTAGAACAGCTACGGATGAATACTAACATATTTAGTGTCAAACTTAATTTGGCCTCATTATCATTCACTTTATTACGTCACTACGCGGTTTTATGAAGTACTATAAAAATAGAAGTCGGCTATGAACGGAATTGGATATAGTATCGACTTTTGTACTTCTATGAAAATTAAAGTACAGAATTTTTAAGAAATACAGCGTTTTCATTGGATGACAAATAAAGTTGGACACTAAATGGTGGGTTTGACCTTGACCTTATAAATATGCATGATTTACGTCACTTTGCGCGATTGTGATATGGTGGATGCTCGATATTGAAACATTTATTTTCGGAAAATATTTTTGATGAGTTGGACAATTGATACTCAGTAGATATGATTGATACATGTATACACAAAATGGCATGTGTTAACACGAGGTCACGTAATGTTTTTTTGTTGTTTTTTAAAAAAAAAAACAACAAAAAACAAAAAAAACAATGTCTACTTTCACTTTCTGTCTACCGAAAAAAAAGTGAATAGACGCACTCCTCTAAGTAACGAATTAATTAAAACATTTTCCTACATTCGTAATGAAAAATACTAATTGACATTCTGTTTAAGTTTTTAATTTTTACACGTGCAGTATCTTTTTCGCCAAGACATGGATTTAAACCTGAACTACATGTACATGTATATTCTTTATCCATAAATACAAAATTCATGTAGGTTGACATTTTGACGGCATTTTACTTAATGAATATTCAAAAGCGGCCCATGAAAGCGCATTTGCAGATTTATGGAAATGACTATTTTTACAAACGCCGTTCTATGAAGCACTATGAAAAATAGAAGGCGACTATGAACTGAATTTGATATAGTATTGATTTGATAGTATTGATATAGATATAGTATAATTGAGCCGCGTCACGACAAAACCAACATAATGGGTTTGCGACCAGCATGGATCCAGACCAGCCTGCGCATCCGCGCAGTCTGATCAGGATCCATGCTGTTCTCTTACAAACCCTATTACAAGTAGAGAAACTGATAGCGAACAGCATGGATCCTGATCAGACTGCGCGGAGGCGCAGGCTGGTCTGGATTCATGCTGGTCGCAAGCCCACTATGTTGGTTTTGTCGTGATGCGGCTCATTGATACTAACTGTTATCCGATAATCCGTTTCCAAAATTGACCAATATTGTTACACAAACAGCAACATATAATGGAGGAAATAAGATACTGTTATTCTACCCAGAATCCTACTCATATATATAACATGATGTTTAAATAATATAAATATTGATAGTACCTCTTCAGCAAAGGAGATTGACATTATATCAATAATTGAAAAATGGAGTGCCAGACAAAATTATTTGTTGACATTTGACTGATTTGAGTAAATATTGCCAATTTATTATTATGCAATGCTTTGATTTAAAATACCAGCGGTTGTAAAAGGTATAATTTTGTATTGTGTATCGAAATTGCTTAACTAGTTTGTTGAAATTGATCAGGTCTAGTATATCGCTAGATTAATCTGAGACATTAGATATCTTATGTCCCAGGATTAATGGATGATGCACCAGCACTAAATGGTTCATTTCATGATGCACCAATTGGTGTACCAGACTATCATACAAATCTTTGAAGACCCATTATTTTGATAATATAACAGTGTGAATTGTGGCACCTGCACTTACTATAGATAATATTCATAGAAATATACTGAACTAAAGATATTGATGTAAACACTGGCAATTCTTGCACTTTTTGAAAATCTACATGATACACTAATTGGTGCATCCCAAAATTGGAAGTGGTTCTAGTCAAGAGACAATTTTAAAACTTAGTATACCTGATCAGAATAATAACTAGATATGAAATATGGAAATGAATTTATGTCTGAAATTTTTCTGTGGATTCTCCTGAAGTTCATTTAGATCAGAAGTTGTCAATAAAACAGACTATTACCAATGTTATGTGCAGGTGTCAAAACAACAAATTATTTACAGAAACGCATTTATCAAAATTGTATTCCTTAATCGGTGTATGTTTTGTGTATTATGTACCAATTTTGTGCATCATGCACTAATCTGGCGAATATACTAGACCTGTTGATATCACACGCGTGTAATTAGATAAAATGTATATCGAGTGTGCAAAGGGCGTTGCATTCCTTGTGTTTATTCATAGTATAGAGGGGTATAGTTGCCGTTATTATTTAATTATTTGCTTATATTTTTCAATTATTGATAGAATGTCAATCTCCTGCTCATTTTCCACATCACTTAAATATATATTAATATACCTTGTATACTTTTGTGTTACTACGTGTAAAGTTCCAGGGTTAATGTTCTTCTTCTCATTGTTTCACGACAATGAGCTTCAAATAAAATACGTGAATATGTTCTGTTCTGTTTTGTTTTGTTAATAAAGTATTGCTCTGTTCTGCTCTGTGATTGTATTAGATATGAAAACTATACACATCAAACATTTATTTAAATGATATCAAGTCTTATTTAAATATATTTACCTTTTAAACGTGAATAAACCTGGACGAGTTATCCCAAATAAGTGATTTAAACAAACAGGTTTTCAAAGATAAGTACAAATCTCCATTTAAATATTTACCGTGCAAGTTAAGTTTGCTTGAGGCTCATGACATAAGAATTTCATTCATACATGCAAAGGTGTGTAAATCCAACCACGCATAACTTTTCCCACCAATATTTTACATAAGTACTGCACGACGTCTAGATACAATTAGCGAATGACCGACGGCCGTATTGATAATTCACTGTGTAATCAAATCTGATTTGAGATTCATGCAACCATTCAGGGGGTCGAACGTATAGCGGTGCGACACTCCTTTAAGCGATCATGCGATACGGACTAATAGCCGACGAAAGTGGGTATGAGCATGTTTGTTTTCAAATATTTGTTGTATCTTGTATGTTGTAGTTTCTTGAAAAATAGCATTGTGCATGCTGATCAGAACTTATAATTGTGCATGATCGTCAAAATAAAATTCTAAATTTTATAGTATTGAGGAAGTTATTGAGGTATGTGTTGCTGCAAATTTAACGCACATGCAAACGAATAATGTATCAGTAGTTTTAAAACGAGATATTCGATTAGTTTAAGTCCCAACATGTTTATTTTTGATAACAAAACGATATACAAGAGTAGTTTTCCATATCTATCCGAAAATATATACAATATTTCCAGTTTTCTTATTGTACGTCTAATATTTGGTTCGATAAACCAACTGTACGCATAAATCTTGGTGTGTTTTTCTGTAGCGACGGGGACTTCCTCATTACAGTACATTCTTATTCAATATTGATGAAATATTAAGTTTTGTGTTTGTATGTTAATCATATGTAAATCACAGTGTCAATTAAAACAACAGTGTCAATTGATGTATTATACTATGATTTAGTTAAGTTAAATATTCTTTTCTCACAAAGGTTAAATATTAGAATTAGATAAGTTGTTGCAAAGAAACTTCAAATTCTATCAAACAACCAATAGTAACGATAATATTCGTTTTGTTTATTCCATTTATTCAGTAAAGGTTTTATCATTTAATAATACGTTTTTCTATTATTAATTACATATTTATGTTGTCAGAAAAATAACTTTAATTAAAACAGCAACATATGAGAAGTGGATCTACCTATTGTATTACATGCACTGGTCGAAAAAAACGTCTTCCATCCGTTCTTATGTTCATTCAATACCTTGAGAAGTACATGACTGTAATAAATTGTGTTATTGTGGTTTTTTTGAACAATACTGGTTTGATTTCCTCTATGGATTTGATCACCGTAGGGAACGTGTTACAGTATCGCGTTTTTCGGTTACAGTATAGAATTTTCAAGATGGGGGATTATTTATGGGAAGAGAGGTATGTGATTTTTATTCAGGTCCATACTACTAGTAGTTTAGTTTCTAAAAGATGTGTTTGTGCTTTGCTTGTAAGGAACAGAATCCGGTATCTAGTCATATATTTCTTCAGACCCTGCACCGCAGATTTATCTCTATATTGTCTCATAAATGTGCAGATTTGATGGTTTAAAAATTTGAATCGAGAGACCAACGCATTTTTCTCCAATTTCGACATTATTTAAGCATGCCTAGATAAAGTAAATCTTCAAAACGTTAGTCCTTTGTGTTTAGAAACGTTTATAAAAGTAAATGACCAGCTGAACCTATTTTCCTGTTGATAAAATGCGTTTGAAAAAATAAACAATGTTGCAGTATAGAGCGAGGTTAATTTTGAAGGGTTACAGCATAGATCTAGCGACTTTGATCCAATTTTGTTACAGTTTATACCCAGATTTCGGTTACAGTTTAGATACTTGCCGAATTTCAAACAAAGTTTGTGTATCCATTATCTTTATTAAATAACTCATACCTTTCTATTTAATACATTCTTAAAAGGTTGTATTACTTTTTTATCTTCAGCAGAAAAGTTATAGTTTGCTATTTTTCTTACTTTAAGTTTCAGATTGAGACTTTTTGCAGAATAAGTAATGTCCTAAGTTAGGACTGTTTTCACGACAACAACAGTAACTTTTATCGAATTGTATTGAGAGAAAAAAAATTATTGCTTGATTTCATTACATATTATAATAATGCCTTTTAGTATAAAATAGAGAAAAAAGAATCCTTAACAGAAGTCCAACACGGAAAACATGAAAATCTTGCAGGCTCAGTTTGATTAAACCTGTTCATGGCCGGTAGTGGTAACTGCAAGCTACCGTCCACGCCTCCTAGCACCGGCTTCAGCAGAATTAACATTAAATATGAACTGGTACACTTTAGATTTTTAACATCTGTGGATGTGTTCATATGGCGGTTATCATGGAACCTTCAATGTGACACGTTATTGCCATTCTATGGAAAGCGGCATATTACCCCTAGGTTAAAAATTGCGCGTGTCCTAAACGAGAATACAATGAGTGAAACTAAATAAAATGAAATTTTGAGAGGGGATCGGAGGTTATGAAGCCTGCATACCATAGATAAGCTGTCAAAAGACACAATTAACAAGTAGGCAATACCCTAAGAATGAGTAAACAGTATTTAAGTGAGCAATACTACAACCTTAAATTTTATTTTAAGTTGGAATTGCCATCTACCATAATGTATTATGTACGTATTTAAAAGGGTTTGTTACGTTTGGCTGTTTCAACGACACTGAGGTCATGTGAAAACATTCCTACTTAAGTGTAAAGAAAGACCCGAGATATCCTTTGTGAAACATTTCAGACACGAGCGGGCACCTGACTAGAACCACCGACCTTCCGTAAATTAGCTTGATAGATTCCTCACATACAAAGAATCCAAAGTCATGATTGGATTTCAACTACAGCAGTAAATGAAAGATGATTTGAAGTCGACGGCCTTATCCCGACTCTGCCACTATTATGTACCTCCATCAGGCTCACTAGAGAAGATATTGTAATTGTCTGACCTTAATTTATACTCTATAATTTTCAATATTATTTTCTTTTTCAGAAACATGAAAACTGCTATACAGGATGTCTGAAATAAAGAAAAACGACTTTTAATTTAAAAATGACAAAATAATCGTAACTTCAACAAAGAAGCATTCAAAATGACGCCATGATCATGACTTGAGTTGAATGCTTTTGGTTCGAGATGAGAAGGGTCTTTAAACATTGCCTTTTTCAAAATCTATGTCTTGGGGTTTTTTTGTATCCCCGATTTCAACCGAAACCATTTGAGCAACTTAATTGGTAGAAAGTCATGTAAATTTCATCACATTTAGTCAAGTAGTTACTGAGCGGATGAGATTGCACACACATGTGTACGACATACGGACAAATAGTCATCGGGCCAATAAGCTCACAGAGATTTATGTAACATTCATACATTTTACCTAGTATTGTTACGCTACGGTCCAGCTATATGGTACCAGGCCCCTTTAATCTTCCTAAAAATGTGGTAACGTGCTCAAGACTTGGTGGCCAATAATTGTACTGGACTGTAGAGAACGATATTGTATTTACGAACAATGAAACGATCACAAATATAACAATATTCTATATAAAATAGAAATTGTTAGGGTTAGGGGGACTGTTGATACTTGATTCGGATGAAGTCCTGTCAAAGTCTATATAGATCTATTTGGCTGAAATATGCTATGATGACATCTGTCAATAGTGGGCTACTCTGTATGACTCTGTATGGCTAGGACACTGTACTCCACAGTACTTGATAACACTTCCTTACTTCTGGAGGTACGCCAGTTTAAGATTAAAATTGAGTCACAAAGAAGAAAGACTGTTCACAGTTTACTAATTTTAATTAGTGTTAAACTGTTAATAAATTAAATTGTCAAATATTCAAATAACAGTATTGTAAATAACATCAACACATGTATATAATTCAGTCTTAAATATCCGATAGCTATGTCTTACATAGACTTCACATAAAATTATTACCGCGACTGCCGTTTAATTTCTGTTCAAAAATATGACAACGTAAATATAAAGTTTGGTCGAGTCAGTGACCGTAATAATGTGGAACAAAAATTATAAAGTTCTTATCAATTATTCTTAGACAATAATTGATTAAATGTAAAATAATAATCTAAAGACTACGTTTTATTTTGCCTTAAAAATAAGTAAAATTTGCCGTTCAGAAGAACACGACAATAATGTAGACTAACCGAAAGTTAAATGAAAACTGACTGAAGTTGATCGTTTTCTGGCCTATTTATACCAAATCTGAGAAAACGAACATAAGAAGGTTCGAAAAATGTTCAACTGTACGTTTTGGTCGGTTGACAATGTTCGACGTTCGAAAACTGAACATTTGACGTTCGGAAACGATCAATTCCATACACAAAGAACGCTGTCAACCAACCGAACGTCCGAACATCAACAATTCTTAGCTAAAGTTCTATGAAACTTTACATGAAAATACGATAAATTGATACATATAATATTTATAAAAATGACTAGTACCATGGATTGACTATAAGTTTGTTGCTTTTGATGAAACATAACTTTGAAACGGTTTGTTTACTGAGTTTAGGCAGCAATTGCTGTTGACAACGGAAGTCGCACAACCCATAATGCATCAGCGAACAACAACAACACCTGTCAAAGTTTATCGAGTAAAATTACGATAAATGCTACTTTCTAGCTAAATGTACGCTGATTATAAGAAAATATGTTAACAATTAATGAAATAAATCATTACTCTTTATAATTCTGACATAATTTATAGTTGTCAGTCCCCAAAATTAACACAAGAAGCGTTTATCGGTACATGTAAAATGTAAACAATGCCGATAATGACATACGACCTGAGTATATAAGTGAGATTATATCAGTATATATAGAAAATATCGAAGTCTAAACTGTAACCGAAATCTGGGTATAAACTGTAACAAAATCGGATCAAAGTCGCTAGGTCTATGCTGTAACCCTGCACAAATCACCTCGCTCTATACTGTACAGTGTTTATTTCTTCAAATGCATTTAACGAACAGGAAAATAGGTTCAACTGGTCATTTACTTTTATAAACGTTTCCTAACATTAAGGACTAACGTTTTGCAGATTTACTTTTTCTAGGCATGCATAAATAATGTCGAAATTGGAGAAAAATGCGTTGGTCTCTCGATTCAAATTTTCAAACTGTCAAATCTGCATATCTATGAGACAATATAGCGATAAATCTGCGGTGCAGAGTCTGAAGAAATATATGACTAGATACCGGAGTCTGTTCCTTACAAGCAAAGCACAAAAACATCTTTTAGAAATTAAACTACTTGTAGTATGGACCTGAATAAAAATCTCCTACCTGTACTCCCAACAAATAATCCTCCATCTTTGTAACCGAAAAACGCGATACTGTAACACCTTCCCTACGGTGTTGATATTATGTATATTTTTTAGAGAATTAAAAAAAAACATTGACAAAGCCTATTAGATGACCCTTATTTATTTAATGGCATTTTAGGTCAAAGATTAAAGCCATTGTGACACTTTTATTATATAGGCTTGAAATTAGTCCTACTTTTGCCTACATTCCTACTTTTTGGCCATACTCCTACTGTTTTTACAAATGTTCCTATTATTCCTACATTTTGAATAAAAATACACTAAAAAATGTATGTATCAACAAATAAAAGTTGCAGAATGAAATGTACAACATGATATAAGTAATGATAGCATATACTGTTTAACTAATGTTTCGGTTCCTAAAACATGCTTCTGTTGATCCCTTATGCAAGCTAGTGCCTTTCTAAAATGTGTGTGAACTGCTGTATTTTCTTGCCTAGGTAAAAAACATTCTGAACTAGTGTGTTGCCTTTCTTTTATGTAAATGATGTGCGCTGTAGAAATTCTAAGCTACAAACGTTCGCGGATTTGTTACATGCATTTTTGCGGATACAAACATTCGCGGAAATGTATTCAATGCGAAAAGCGCTAATCTAATAAGCGCGAAATAATTTCTAGGAATACAGTATTGCCTTATCAATATCAAGAGCAAAATCAAATGTCAGACATATCATAGATGAACAAAACTGGAAAAAAACTACAACATTAAATTGCATAGATTCTTCAGTAATAAATTAGACTACAGAAAAAAAACTTAACACAAATTCCATGATCAAAAGGAAAAATAAATCACAAACAAGATACAGTACAAAAGCAAGAAAAGGCCGACATATTTTTGGAATTAAAAAAAAGAAGAGTAATTATGAACATTGTTAAAAATTGTGAGATGACAAGAAATATAGTTATCTAAGATCTTAGAGTATAGTTACTTTTTTTCCTACTCCTAATTTTCACAGGTAGATATCTTATTATTAAAATTTAGTTCAAATAGTAACACTTATATAGATGGTGATACGAAACTTTTATTTGAAGTAAATCCTTAAGGAAAGAAGAAGATATAAAAACTTTTTTCAGAAATCCGGAAACGGACACATATATGGTAGATCTCTTAGTACAATCATAGGAAAACATGTACAACAGATGTGATAATGCAAAAATATCGAACCTTTAACAGCGTTTAGGTATTGTATCGCACCAAAACCCAGCGTACACTTAAATATTTTAACCAGTAAGCGTCTATGTATATTGGAGCACAAAGGTACTTGTATGCAACTCAATTATGATTAACCTTATAGAATTAAGAAGAAAAAGAAATTAACTGCTTTAGGTGATTTCATTCACCGACACAAAATCAGTTGCCGTCAACTTTTATAATTATGAATTAAAGCCTCTGTAATTTTGATGAAATGTGTGTCGGTCCTATCTTCACATCGTCAATACAAAATATACAATTATAATTGAAGATTTATGAAATAATTAATAAAATAAACCCACTCTGACGTATGTTTACACGAATAAATCCGCCATAAGTCCGTATCGCATGATTTCACCTCGCTTAAAGGAGCATCGCACCGCTTTACGTTCGAGACCCCCTGCTTGTCATAAAGGCCTTTATAGGTGATTTTTCATTTTTTTCTTCTTTATCTTCATTATTATAGGATAGATCTTAAAAGTATGGATTAGCAATGTTAATCTAATTTTTAAACAAGTAAATGTTAATAAAATGTTACTGTCTCACACATTATTCATTACAACATCATATTTTATCAATGTTTATATGTCAGGATGGAATATATCATTAGAGTTTGGAAGATATGAATAAGAAAGTAATATACTCAGTAACAATAAAAAAAATTTAATCATTTTTATGTTTGATTTTACCTAGTAGTATTTTTTAAGTTTTATAACGATAGTCTCTTATAAATCTGTGATAGATTGGCCATGCTTTTTATATCTGTATTTTATAAATGTTTTGAACTATGTAAATATGTATGAATGAGACGTAAATAAACAAATAAAGTAATAAACTAAACTATAAGACGGTTAATGATGGTAGTATCACATTAAAATCTTATTTCATAGAATGTTAAGATAATAAATTACTTTATTTGTCTTTACAGAAGCCTTCTGTAAATTATATAAACATGCATGTCTATTTATTATCACTGAACTCGTTATTTTGTATGGCTATTAGTTTGTGATTTGTTTTATGCCAATAAAGTTATTTGAGTGAAGTAAAGTTAATATCTGGAATGTGGCGTTGTCTAGTAGATTTCTATAAAATTGAAATCTTTTTGAAATACATGAATGCAAGCTTTGTTATATTCTCTGATCACATCTCAAAATTTCATTTATTATTTAGCTAAAAGCGTAGCGTCATTTATAGCTGATTTTAATCAGATTGGTTCCTTTAACTGTATTTTATATAAGAAAATCATCTAGCAATAAATGAAACATGAATTGAGTATAGTTCAACACAGCTTATACGGTTTCATTGCGGTTACATGTATGCCATCAGACCGACGATACAGTGCAGCAAATATTCATACTACATGTATATATTTTATTTTTACTTCATATATAATCCCTTGTTGCAGACCCAGTTTTACTTAATTTATTCTTGATAAAGTATAAAGATATAACATTTCTCACACACCCTAGGACAGACTTTAGAAGTTTTCAGTTCCAATATCTAAAATATTATATTCAACTATACTTAATGTCCATTAAGAACACTGGCATAAAATGCACTGCGAACCAACAAAGCTTATTGATATGATTGACATCTTAGGTTATTAAAATTTGCTCCTGTATATAGATTTACAACTTAAGTTTTGCCATAATAATATAGAAGAATAATAGGTAACACTTATCTTTAAAAAAAAAAACAACAAAAAAGAACAACGAGGAGTTCAACGGGTAATTCACATGAATGAAAGATATATTATCACAAATAAAAAATCCCATCTTTATACGTAAGAAGTACATTGTATGTGCATTTTGTCATTATATATTTCACTGCGGTATACCGTACCCCGGATATTGCTCGATATTATGAGGACTTTCATCCCATTTCGCGACTTTGAACGAGGAAAAGAAGGTAAGTTCAGTGACGATATTTTAGTCATTTTGAATTGGTTTGATATAAATTTTATTGAAAAACAAATACTTCGATAATTTCTCTAGTTACTGAAAACCCAAAAATGTTGAGAAATAGCTTTGAAATGAAATTAGGAGGTAAAATTCGCCTCTTTGCTCACGTGATAAATGAGCTCGGATCAGTCAAATTTGATGTTTTTGAGCATATACTTGTTTAAAAGAAAAACTTGAATCGAGTGAAATGTGATAATGATGATAATATTTATGTTGTAAATGTTCAATCAACAATAGAACCTCAGATGACAGTGTATTTTCAGAATAAATACACATGTCAGTGTACCGAGTATTGCGTTGGAGTTGCCCGCCGGTGTCACGAGTATTGCTTTTTAGTGTAACGAGTATTGGTTATCAATATAGAGTAAATGCATGTAGTAAATACAGAGTATTTACCACATTTAATCTTAAATATTTCTTATCGTGTATACTTATTTACACTATATGTGCAGAATATGCATAGTGCAGAGGTACTTTACTGGAAACATCTGCGAATAATCCAAATTTTCATTCCTGCTCATGAAAAATCTCAGTCGAACGAACTCAGCAATTTTCTGTGTTTACAGTTCTCGTTGATATCGCAGGATCAACCTTTCCAGAATTTGTTAATAATTATTGCATATCTTACTTTAAAAGTAAAAAAATGCATCCAAAGTGCATTAATGCTGCCTTAGGATTGTCAATATTAGACGGTATTGAGCAAGTGTGCCTACTATGCAAAAGTAATTTTCGGTCATTTTGCACCTGCACTCTAGCAACGGCAAATCGTCTGCACGTGAAATTTGTTACTTCATTAGCAATGAGGTACAGTATGACTGCCGAGCGGGTACAGCTAAAAAAAACGAATAATAGATTTTGATAAGATTATGATAAAGGGCAGCAGATGCAATAAAAAGGTTATGTTCCAGGACTTAGTTCCTTATAACCTTTTACCTTATAAAGGCGTGTTTTGAAGGCTTTACACCCCACCCCTTTTGAGGCCTCAAATAGTGTAAAACATGCGCTATTTAGGCCCCAAACACTGTTTTTTGTTTGAGAAATGTTGTTCAAAAGAGGGATCACTTTTTCGGCGCCCCACCCCAATTAAAAAGGTACACCAAGGGGGTGCCACGGGGGGATGTGCCCCCTTCTGTTTTGGGGTTTGAAGTGGGGCAGTAGCCCCTCTAATCGTGGAGAAGATTAGGGGCTTGGGGGGGAGGGGCTTAAATGGCCTCAGGTCGATTTAAAGGTACCGTGCAATCAACGCCGAAAAGCCTTAGACTTTATCTCAATCAATTGAGAAGTTGCTGCACCTTGAAATCAGTTTTGATGGAAAAAAACAACGCAAAAAGAGATTTTTGGCAATTTTGAGTCGTCCACCCGTTGCCATGGTAACTGGAAATTTAAAATTAAGCATGCTATTCTACAGGCTATGGTCCAGCCAAAATTTGTGCCCAGTTTGACCAGTATTGAAGCATTTTTTATAGTTTCATAGCAGTTTAAACTTGTAACAGGAGGCTTAATTCAATGAAAACAGTCATTTTTCGCAATATGAGCCGCGTCATGACAAAACCAACATAATGGGTTTGCGACCAGCATGGATCCAGACCAGCCTGCGCATCCGCGCAGTCTGATCAGGATCCATGCTGTTCACTATCAGTTTCTCTACTTGTTATAGGGTCTGTAAGCGAACAGCATGGATCCTGATCAGACTGCGCGGATGCGCAGGCTGGTCTGGATCCATGCTGGTCGCAAACCCACTATGTTGGTTTTGTCGTGACACGGCTCATATATTCATGCAGTAAAAGGTTAAGACAATACCGGCATGCTTGGAAGGCATAAGTATGGAAAGCCATGGCTGTCTGATATTGTTCTTTTTCAATTTATGTAACCATTTGGATAATATATGAGTTCACTTCGACAATGTATGGAACAAGGTGTTCTTATATGAAACCAAATTATCAATATATTTATTCATTTTTACAATATATGAAACCATTTTATCAATGTATGGAACCAAAGTATCAATGTATGAGTTGGTTATTACAATATATGATACAAATTATTCAATATATGGAACCAAAGTAACAATATATGGAACGAGGTGTCCTTATATGAAACCGAATTATCAATATATTAATTCATTTTTACAATATATGAAACCATTTTATCAATGTATGGAGCCGAAGTATCAATATATAAGTTGATTGTCACAATATATGATACCAATAATTCAATATATGGAACCAAAGTAACAATGTATGGAACCAGGTGTCCTTATATGAAACCAAATTATCAATATATTAATTCATTTTTACAATATATGAAACCATTTTATCAATGTATGGAACCAAAGTATCAATATATGAGTTGGTTATTACAATATATGATACCAATTATTCAATATATGGAACCAAAGTAACAATGTATGGAACCAGGTGTCCTTATATGAAACCAAATTATCAATATATTAATTCATTTTTACAATATATGAAACCATTTTATCAATGTATGGAGCCGAAGTATCAATATATAAGTTGATTATCACATTATATGATACCAGATCTTCAATATATGGATCCAAGTAAGTCATGTATGGAACCAGATGTCCTTATATGAAACCAAATTATTAATATATTAAATCAATTTTACAATATATGAAACCAGTTTATCAATATATGTAACCGAAGTAGCAATATATAAGTTGATTTTCACATTATATGATACCAGTTCTTCAATATATGATACCAAAGTAGCAATATATTGAACCAAAATGTCATTATATTGACGGGACTTTTTTTAAAGGCTGTATTCTATCCTTGCACCGGTATTACAGTTTCGCGCCAATATTCCTTGTTTAAAGAACAGCGTGCTTCACTGACTGCATACTGCACATTTTTTTAATAAGGAAATATTTGAATTTATTGTCACATTCACTTAAAATGGGCTGGGCAGGCAAAACTTATCGTTATATGTGTAGGAGTTGTATGTCATAATTTAAGCTATTGAGTCGTACTGACCATTAACAAAAACTTATTTAAAAAATAAGTTCATCTCGACCTTTACCTTTGATCAAAAATAGGCATGGCCAGAAGGACACATCAAGGTTAATCTTCTCACAAAGTTAAAAAAAATAATCAGTCAAATAATAATTGATTTCATGAAAAAGTGTATGCATTGTAATAACAGAACCCAGTGACCTCGGCCTTTAAATTGTTGACTTTAAAATAGGCTATTTTGGTTCCATATAATGAAAATTGCTATCATAGAATGTAACATCAACTTATATACTAGCTGCTACTTTGGTTCCATACATTAATAAAATGGTTTCATATATTGTAAAAATGACTGAATATATTGATAATTCGGTTTCATATTAGGGCATCTGGTTCCATATATGGCTTCTTTGGTACCATATATTGAAGAACTGGTGTCATATAAAGTGATAATCAAGTCATATATTGCTACTTTGGTTCCATACATTGATAAAATGGTTTCATATATTGTACAAATGAATAAATATATTGATAATTTGGTTTCATATAAGGACACCTGGTTCCATACATTGTTACTTTGGTTCCATATATTGAATAATTGGTATCATATATTGTAATAACCAACTCATATATTGATACTTTGGTTCCATACATTGATAAAATGGTTTCATATATTGTAAAAATGAATTAATATATTGATAATTCGGTTTCATATAAGGACATCTGGTTCCATATATGGCTATTTTGGTACCATATATTGAAGAATTGGTATCATATAATGTAATAACCAACTCATATATTGCTACTTTGGTTCCATACATTGATAAATTGGTTTCATATATTGTAAAAATGAATGAATATATTGATTATTCGGTTTCATATCAGGACATCTGGTTCCATATATGGCTACTTTGGTACCATATATTGAAGAATTGGTTATCATATAATGTAATAACCAACTTATATATTTCTACTTTGGTTTCATAAATTGATACATTGGTTTCATATATTGAAAAATGAATTAATATATTGATAATTCGGTTTCATATAAGGACATCTGGTTCCATACATGGCTACTTTGGTACCATATATTGAAGAATTGGAATCATATATTGAGAAAATCAACTTATATATTGCTAACTCGGTTTCATACACTGACGGTATGGTTTCATATATTGTAACTGTGGATTAATACAATGGATTCCGGTTAAATAAGAAGGTCTTTTCAATTCATATATAGTCGAAGTGAACTCATATATTATCCAAATGGTTACATAAATTGAAAAAGAACAATATCAGACAGCCATGGCTTTCCATACATAAGCCCTCGGGCCAATATTTTACTAAGTGTGTCGATATGTTTCTTAAGGCAAACTTGCCCTGTAAAACCCTATTATTAATGTCAGTCATCTAAATATGTTTTTTTTATTCTTCTTCTTTTCAGAGATAAGTCTCATTGATCACAGTTTCTTGAGACATGTATTTAAAGATTTTTATCGTCAATTTTAATGGTTCTTCCCTGCGCCCGACTCTGCACACATTTTAACTTTATTTCATCCATAGTGTGATTTTCACTCAAACGGGAAATTAAATCGTATTTGCCCGTAGAAAAAGAACAGTAATGACACAAAACATGCATTGTTGCATCTGAAATATTTGAATAAATATCATATAAACAGTTTATTATCAGCAAAATAAAATGGAATCGATAAACAGACGTAAAAATTAGACAAAAATATCGATTTTCCATACTAATGTGCTCATTCTGTTTTGCAATACACTGTACACTAAAGTTGGGCTATCTTGCAATACTCTGTACACTTAAAATCAATACTCGGTACACTTTCTTGTATCTTTTTTGGTCTGTATCTTTTTGTACTTTCACACTTTTTGCCTGAAATTTGGACAAAGCATTCTTGGATTGTGAATAAAAAAATTGCTCGATTCAATTTTTTTATATATTGGTAATATAATTATTTCTAACGATTCTACAGTATCACGGTCAGTATTTTCTAGTGAGCAGCGGATCGTTTAGGGGTAGTTTAATCATTTTTTCAAATACCTGTAATACTTTTATGTCTTTTAGAGCTACAAAAATACCTCTACATATATAAAACCCGTTGAGATAAATGAAATAGCCATTAGTTTGGAAAATATCGTCGCTGAACTTACCTTTGTTCCCCGTTTAAAGTCGCGAAATGGGATGAAAGTCCTCATAATATCGAGCAATATCCGGGGTACGGTATACCGCAGTGTATTTACAAGCTTAACTGACATAGTATTCCTTCTGCTTGATAAGCTATTTAGAGCAGACGACGCATGTTAGTTCACGTCCATGTACATATGGTGGACATCGCAAGGATCCACAACGTGCTTCTACGAAGTAAAAAAGCTTTCCATTTACATCGGCATGTCCACCGTCAATTATCTCTGGTTTGGCATCAAGACACACAAATTCAGATGGATGGTGACTGTCATGTCCGCTCGATAGATACCCTTCATATTCTAATGTCCATCCATCATAGCATTTGTTACGGCCAGGTATAAACAAAACACTTGCTCGCTTTGTCCGGCATACACAGCACGGTACATCTTGTTGGTGCAATGTTACCTCAAAGAAATTGTTCATATTTCTACCATACAATTCATATTCTGCTCCCCAGACAGTGCCGGAAACCTGCTCTCCATCTTCATAAGCATTCCACAATGGTTCTTCTGGTAAACATAAAAAGTTAGCTGTTGCTCCTATATTATGTTGTGAACCACCAGCGTACCCTTTGTAAACCAGCTCTGTTCCATTTTGTGGGCATTGTGTTCGTCCCCAACGAATGTATGTATTTCCAGTTCCAGAAAGTGAATGAACTTTTCCTATCTTAATAACGTTCTCTTCAATCGTTTCCAATTTTGGTCTGACTTGATTGCTTTCTTCTGTAAAATATTCAGTTATCTATTATATTTTAGTGTTTATATGCGAGAAGCAAGCATTATTTTGCTGTAGGAAAAATGTTCATATCTGGAATTTTAACACAACAGCGACATATTTATAAGCGGAATTCGTGGATATAATATAAATGAGCCGCGTCACGACAAAACCAACATAGTGCGTTTGCGACCAGCATGGATCCAGACCAGCCTGCGCATCCGCGCAGTCTGACTAGGATCCATGCTGGTCGCTTACCAACCCTATTGCAAGTAGAGAAGCTGATAGCGAACAGCATGGATCCTGATCAGACTGCGCGGATGCGCAGGCTGGTGTGGATCCAGCTGGTCGCAAACGCACTATGTTGGTTTTGTCATGACGCGGTTCAAATGTTGAATTGACTTATGTCCTTACAAATATACTATGTGTAACGGAAAAAACGCTCAACATTTTGTTTTTGCATTTTACATTTACATTTTATTTTACACTATAACACTAGTAAAAGCTGTTTTTAAAGACGAACGTCTGTGCTTGCAGTGTATTTTTGAATTATTGCATACCACAAACTATAATGCCACTATTTGTATGCTTTAAACATGTTAGACTTATTTGGAAAAAAAACATATGTAAAAAGCTAAAATAATTAATTTCAAAACCCGAAAATTTGAGAATAAAGTACGTGTATACGATGAGACGCTTAATGCACTTGTATGAACATTTTTGATTGCATAGATCATTTAATTACATACCTTTTAGTTTTGCAATCACTGTTTTCATATCCTCCATAATGATTTTAGCATTTTTCTGTTCAATTTCCAACATAATCATTTTCTGTAACATTTTATGGTCATAATCAAATCTTGAAGTACAAACTGGTTCTTCCTGGCTTGCCAAAATGATTCTCAAAAACAACGTAAGTCCAAATGCCACACATACCACGATTTGTGCTCTTGTCATATGTTTAGCCCCTGACATTGTTAGTCCAACAACAGCAAAGGAAAATATATCCTCTTTTTCCTTCTTCTTCTCTCATACGTAAATGAATCTGTTGCTTTGCGGCGTCTGTTTGTCTCTATGATAAGCACTAAGCAAAATGAATAGCAAAATAATGAGCTAATGATTGTTGTTCAAATGTCGTAACAGATTGTTGGAAGGGAGGATAGGATACATATATCAAAACCAACACAACAGATTGTTATAATTCTGGGACAGTGTTTCGGTTTAAAGGTAAACAAGCAGTGATCAGGATTATCAAAATCTTCAAAGCATTACATAAAAGTTATGCTAATTATTAAGTAGGATATTAATTATTTACAATTATTATGTCCAAAAACGAAAAGATGAATAAAGCAATCGACAGCTCAAAGTGTATACATGCGTTACGGTAGATGTGTTTCCAAACGGTTTTTAGAAAATTAACTCATTCATCTCAAGTATGTCAAGTTTTTTTCTGTTCTGACTCTAGCAAATACCAGAAATTGTGGATTCTTTTCAGTACATTAAATAATGACATATTCAATATAAAAATTATTCGTAATTTAAACTAATGTTCCTATTCTGTTTTTATTTTTCAGAGGAGTCATATTCACTGGTTTCATATACACAATATGCATTTATTACGCATAAGGCATGCTTACGAGAAAACTAATTCCTTTTGTTTTCTTTTCATATTTTCTTTTCATATAATATTTATAAATATAAAAGGAAAATATTAATATACACATAGGAATAAAACAAACTTAATGCAATCAGCAAGAGAACTGCTAAGCAATGAGAATCTCAGTCTGATGTAATGTTTTATTATATGCAATTCAATTGTATTTCTGTATCAAAATGTGTTCTGTAAAGGCTCATTTACACAGTTCAACATTCCCATATGAACGTATTCGAAATAGAGGCAGATAAACAAGACTGCGATTACATGTATTTATCCATTGTATTTTCATACCTGTAGAAAGATGCTTGTTTTTATTTTTCAAAAATTGACTTGCCGCTTACTTTTTCATTAAAATTACAATTAATAAGAAAAGCATAGAAAAAGCTTTGAGGAACATACAGTAAAAAGTCTTATGATTTTCTGGTAACATCCAGATAAACAATCATCTTTGAAAAGGTAAACAAATAAAATAAGATGGTGTTGAGAGTAACTTTACAGATGTTCACTTGATACGGCTTTGGCTATCAGTTAAAATGTTTTCAAACAATATTCACTTGCAGACTTTTATTTCCATCTTAGGTTTACATCAAGTAAACAACATAAGCATCTTTTTTTAATAATAACAGTGAATAATGGCGGCATATTACGATATCAAGTGCTAGGTAAATAGAAAAAGACGAACATATCCAAATAAAACATGTAAAATCACAAATAAATATGTATAGCAAATAAACATTTTACAAGTAAACAAGCAATCAGTGTTACATGTTTTAGATACAATTTCGATAAAGAAACTCAGTGTAGTCAGTAAAATTTTATTTTCACTGATTAACAATTTATTAAATTTGAAAAAGAAAATGGAATTAACACCGTCTTAAATACTTTTTTCTTTCACCAGAAAACTTTTTACATGTGAATAAATGATGAAATATATTTGTCACCTATTTCATCATTTTCTTAAACGTGTCTTGACCTGTTAGTGTTTTCAGCCAGAAAAATTGTGTACATAATTACCATTTAAATTGGATGATCCGGACAAGAACAAACAATTATTTATAAAAATGTCCGTCATTAACATTATTAATCATGCGGAAAGTATTGTCATAGTTTGAAACCATCTATACCTTCTTAAATTACCTTCATATTATGCCCAAGGAAATTTAACCTACTCTTCCTTGGATAAACCAATTGAAAGAAGTCGCACAGAAACAATGACGTTGGAGTACGTTAGAGATCTGACTGATGTAGATACTTACTACATGTATGTCTTTTATAAAGAAAGAAGGAGGCCAACAAATGATCAAAGTGCTGAAAGCACTGCAAGCGACGACATATCTAGCGGTTACATGCTATATGCACACTAACAAAATTTTGTAATGGTGCCATAGAAATGCCGCAAGAAAGTATTTCAGAATTTTATTGCAATTATACTTTTATATCAATCATTTGCTAATTTATCATACACCCAGGGTAAAAAGAAATATCACTAGGGTTTTCAAAAAACAAGGTCAATGCAGCTGGACCGTGTAAGATTTATTCATTTTCAACATTCGTAAATAGGGTAGGGTTAACTACTCAATTGTCATTGCATATGCGTGAACGACATTTTAACAGACTTGAAATATAATTATAAGTATAATAAATATCAAATAGAGAAGAATAGAATCACTAAGGACCGTGAAAAAACGGCAAAATTGACAATTTTGCAAGCTCGATTTGATATGGCTACAAACACAACACTGATAATAGACCAGTCTGCCGTTTTATCTTAGACGCCTTAAACTGCCTTTGGGCTAACATTTAGACATACGAATGCAGAAGCACGGTGTGTATTTTGTCCGTCCGATAGGTACCTTTCATATTCCAATATCCATCCATCATGGCATTTGTTTCGATCAGACATTAATAGAACGCTTGCTTGCTTGATCCGGTGTACACAGCAGTAGACTTCATATTCCATTTTTTTTAAAACAGTATCCACATTTCTATCATACAATTTAAGTTCGGCTTCTTAGACGGTGCTTAATGCATTCTCAGCGTCTGTTTATATATTCGACGGGTGTTCTGTTAGTAAAATTAGCGGGATCAGCGAATTCTTTATAATCTAATTATATTCCATTATCTGGATAATATGTCCCAACGCACATACGTATATCCCGTCACAGCAAGTAAATTGTTCTTTCAATTTTCTTATCATTTCTTCAATGACTATCTGTCTTGGTCGCTTTTGTCTGAAAAACTATTATTATCCTAATTCTAGAATACTATAAATCTAGCTCCCATACTGCTTTGTAGTATTGCTAAATTTATGTATTAAATGTGTAATGAAGGTATGCATTTTATAAAAAAATGAAAATTGCTAATTGTCTTAATTATCAACTTATACAATACTTTGTCCGATGAAAGACAAAAGACCCAGAAATATGATATTCGAAGAAGTAGAAAAAAAGAGAATAAAATTACTTTTTAAGTAACCAATCCATTATATAATTAATAGATCCCTGCTTTGACCTTTTATTTAAATAACAATAGATTTAACCACAAACATTGACTTGTGCTCGTTTGGAAATAAATATGTTGTGGTGAAATTCTTATTGCATCAACTAATCTGATACTTAGAATTAGACAGGTCAGGGATCTATGCAGTATAAGAAATATGATCCCTCATAATTCTGTTATTTTGTAATGATTTAAAATATACTCGTTCACTATCAACCAAAATCTAGAGAGATTTAATGTATATGCATCATCAAATGATGTCATAATTCAAATTAAAAAAATCATTACACATTATAAACTACATGTATATTGATTATGCATGAACATTACCTTTCTAATAAGAAGGTACCGCTTTCGTTTCCTCCAACACGGCTTTTTAGTTTTTCTCTGTTCAATTTCTAACATAGTTGTTTTCTGTTACATTTTCAAGTCATAGTAAACTCTGGAAGTACAGTCGGACTATTTTTGGGTTGCCACTTGCAAAGCTCCAAAACAACGAAAGTCCAATAAATGAATAAAAAATTTCCCAAAATTTCATAGGGGCAATAAAAGAAAGGGCCTTTTAAAAAATTTTTAAAAATTACTTTTTTTGGGCAAAAATACGGAAATTAAATTTTAAGGGGGATTCAAAAATTTGGGTATATATTTCATTTTATCAAAAATGTTTAGTTTACTGCAATATCTCTTAACTCAAACCGACTTTTATTTGAATTTTTAATTACCTTTTCTTCATTTTGTTGTTGTTGGTTTGAATGGACAGGCTACTGTAAATGGACGACAAGGGTTGCTTATCCCCCGAGTATGAGCTATGCCGTAACAATTGGCTTAGTGACGTAAAACCAAATGTCATAAGCCTTGGATTAAATATATCAACGATAACGCCGCCGAAGGCATGCGATTTAAAAAGTAATGGCATCTACTCAGAGAAATGTTCCAATGAATTCCAAACTGATTCAAAATTAAGAATTTGTGGACTATTTAAATCAAGCAATGTATAATAAAACCACATAAATCTGAGAGCGAATATATTTTGGAACATACTTCTCCCACACGACTTTATCAAGACGATTACAAATTAAAACATTTCATATATAAATTTCCTAGAAAATGTGCAAACACTTGTTGTAAGTGCTTATCTCCACATACTTCCTGTCATAAATATCAGAATACGTAAATTTCTACTGAAATAATGCACTCCCTTTTAATTTAAATCGTGAAGATGAAATCGTGATTTCCGGAAGTTGAAATCGTGAATTCCGTATATTGAAAACTTGAAATCAAGAAGTTAAAATTGTGATTCACAAACTTCAAGATGAAATTGGGAATTTATGAAGTTGAAATGTTCATAGCAGTCTATCGTGAAAGTGGCATGCCAGTACCATGCCCGTCATTTACTGGTCCAAATAAAAAAAGGATTGTAAATGGATATTTTATGTGATAAAAGCTGGTTTCAGGGTTACAGTCTCAAACATGTGTGGGTAGAATTTTAGTTTTTCTATTATGTTTTTAAAGAAAACAGCCATATCGCATTATAACTGCAATAACAAAAAAAATCTTTTAATGTAACTAAAAACATTACGGTGGACAGGGCTTCTATATGTATGGTCGGTATGTCCAAACCACAGGATATTTCAGGCCCTAAAGATTAATATAATTAAGTTGTGTTCATAATTATTAAAAGTCTTACTAATTTTAATCGAGGAATGAGAAGTTATCTTTTGTTAACCACAAATGCCGATGGTCATATTTTTAAATGGCGTATCTGAAAATTATAGACAAAGAAGTTTGTATTTTTACATAACGTCATTGAAGCCTCTACTAACGAGGGGTCGTTTAAGGCAGGTTAAAGTGACATAATGCTCATATTTTCATGGTCAATTTGAGCTGAATTGACTTTATGTTTGAAAAGAATGACTGTCAAAATGGTGTTTGACCAACAGTTGATATTGGAAAATGTTTAGGATAAAATTATAAATCTGTCTAAAATTTAAACAGACTGCCCAACTCTTTTTATAAACTATTCGTTTTAGGTAGATCCTAAAGGATAACTACAGAAATTTCGTTTGGATCTGTGAGTTATTTATTGTTTATGCGAATTTAATTATTTAATTAAAAGGAATTATGGCAAAATGAAACTTATTTTGACTTTCACCCGTTCAATCACTATATACCCTTGGATGGGCATAATGTCAAATTATTATTATTATTATTATCATTATTATTATTATTATTATTATTATTATTATTATTATTATTATTATTATTTCTACAAGCATTGCATACATTTGTTTCAGTACCGTATAGTCATGGACTATTTATTTCAATACTTATTCCTTCTAGTTATTAAAAATAATTATATATAACTTTTTTACTATCACCACATTTCATTAATTACATAAGAAATTTATGTGGAAAAAAACAACAACAACAAAAAAAACATCATCAACAAAAGAAAAACACCTTGAATTGAACTGATACAGTACTGCGTTTAAAGAGCATACCGAAAACTAATTTTGTTTCTTTTAAAGGGCGACAACTGATGTATTCTTTGTTGTAATTGTATAGGCAGATTTGCTGTTCTTTTTATTCAACTTGGTTCACACAAAAAAATTTCAATTTACATTGTTACTTTTGTTACACGCAGATATCGTTCACATTTGATTTTGTTCGGGGAAATGTAGAAAATATTCAACAAAATCGATGTTTAAGTATATAAGTAAATTTTGCTACCCATATGTATCTTTTTACTTCGCTATTTGATGTCATAATTGTACATAAATACCAACTTCGAGATAGTTTTCTTGCAATAATGAATACTTTATTGATAGTATGTTTGTTGTAAAACGTGGTATTGCTTTCCATATTGCATGATGATGATGATTAAAATGATGATTATGATGATGATTTTATTTATAAAGAAACATATCCAATTAAGGCATTCACAGAAAATCATGAGTCGCGGGCATCATCAACAGAGTGAAGATTACAAATAATGGGGCATAAAAAATCAGTGACTTTGTACTTGCAGACATTTTCATGATATGATTTATTTTTCTCTATAGCTATTTATATTTGTATACAATTTATAGTAGCATAATAAACATATCTTATTTGACATAAAGGTGTCACTAAAAGTTTAAACGCAATATGCTATGATTTGATAAATGTTTATTTTGCAATAGAATTGTTTATAGTCAAACACAGTCAGCAGTCAAGCTGAAAATGTTCAAGATTAGATATGAAAAGTCAAATTTGCTAAAACACGACCTATTTCTAATATAAACTGAGATTATACTAACGTATATTTTGCCGAACGAAGGAAAAGATTGGTTTGATTGGCTCCTTGTATTACATTGACGCACAATTAGCCAAAGGTCAAGCAGTATGTAACAGTATAAGTTCTCACATATATGTTATATGATTCTGTAAGTTTTATAAGTCTTGAGATTGAGACTGACGGCGGACATTAACTTGAAAATATAATCATATAATAAACCAATTTATATTTTGTAATTCATTGAATGTATATTAAGTTTCTATGGCAACGCGTTTGAATACATTGATAATATGTCAGGATCATTAAAAGTTAAGCATCTTCAACCATGTACTATTTTCTTAGAAGTATTACAAATAAAGTAATTTAAACTGTTCTTATTCACCTTTATGAAATAAAAATATCGCATAATGCAAATTATGTGTGTAACTTTATCAAAAATGTCAAGCATATGAGCAAGCCATTTGATGTTTTGCCGTTACTCCAGATTGTAACATGTAATGAGTGTTCTATTGCGGTTTGCAGTATACAACAACTCAATTGTTAAAATGCGCAATTATATAAAAAAAAACTTGACAATGGGCTCTTTTCTAAAAGGCAGTAAATGAGGACACCGTACCTTTTTCTTAAAAGCATGTTCTTGTTTGAATTTTAAAAAGAACGATTAGATTTTCAGAACCGGTAAGTGATAAGTTTTCTCTAAATAAAACATGCATCTACCTATTAAATGATTGCTACGTTATTATATTTTATTTAGAGCAGACAGCACATGTCAGCTCACGTCCATTAACATATGGTGGACATCGTAATGATCCACAACGTGCTTCAGCAAAATAGAACAGTTTTCCATTTTTATCCGCGTGTCCGCCTTCCACTACCTCCGGTTCCGTGTCAAGACAAACGAATTCAGCAGCATGATGTGTATCATGTCCGCCCGACAGGTAGCCTTCATATTCCAATGTCCATCCATCATAGCATTTATTCCGGCCTGGAATCATTAGAATGCTTGCCCTGTTCGTGCGACATACACAACACGGAACGTCATGTTCTGCCACTCCTTTTTCAAAGAAATTATTCATATTTCTACCATACAATTCATATTCTGCTCCCCAGACAGTGCCTCCAGTCTGCTCAGCGTCTTCATATACATTCCACAACGGTTCTTCCGGTAGACATAAATAGTTGGCGGAAGCTCCTTTATTACTATAGTGGGAACCACCAGCGTAACCTTTGTAAACCAACTCTGTTCCATTTTCTGGGCACTGTGTTCTTCCCCATCTCACATACGCATTTCCCGTTCCAGCTAGTGAATTCATACTTTCAATTGTTCTAACTTTTTCCTCAATTGTTTTCAACATGGACTTGTCCTGATTGCTCTCGTCTGTAATATAGTATGCAGTTCTTAATTTAGTGTTCTATAATAATGCTTTAAATATGTGGTTCTGGAGATTGTTAAGAAAGGATACACTGAATCTGTAATGAATGCTAGCCGTTTAAAAAGAGAAAAAGGATGACTTATTCCCATAATTATACTAATACACAATCTTATGAAAGAAAGCATTGCACTAGTTATATGATGATTTAGGAAATAAGGATAAATGATTTATAACTAGTCCATTTTGTTTAGACAATAAATATCAAATAAGAATAGTAAAAGTGATGTAAATGTTCTTTAAGCTTAAGCGTGTGTGCTGGAAAACAAAACCCGCCAGCGTAAATTGCTCAGGAGTAATGAAAACATAACCTAATGACTCAGTGTGATTCAGTATGCGCTTTAAAAATGACGTAAAATACATGTTCGATATCATCGACTTTAGCGGAATCCTCAATCTTTAAAATATTACATTCAATGATCCCAAAAGATTTTAAAGATATAAAAATACAATGTCATAACACTGCTCACAAAATATAATTTGTAAACAAAGTAGATAAAAAATTAGAGTCAAAATAATTCAATAACAATAAGAGTAAATATCAAATGTCAGTTTATGTCAGATCATATATACCTATCTTATATAATTGTTAACACATTACCTTTCTGTTTAGAAAGCGCCGCTTTAATTTCCTCCAACATGGTTTTAGTATTTCTTTGTTCAATTTCTAACATTATCATTTTCTGTAACATTTTGTGGTCATAGTCAAATCGTGAAGTACATACTGGTTCTTCTTGGTTTGCAAAAATTATTCCCACAAACAACACAAGAATAAATACAATACGTAAAAACAAATTTACAAAAATCATTTTGCATGTAATTTTGCTTCCAGTTTCCAACGTTTACTCTCTACACGTAAAAGAAAAAAGGACCACTGGAACAGATTTACTGTAAAAGTAAACTCCTTGATATTTGCGAATCCATTTTTTCATTTCATGCGTCACATTAATTAGATGCATATGCTTCAATGTGATGAATCTTTTACTTTGTACTTTCTTGTACTTTGTTAAAAAGCACTTATATTATTGATGTCCATACACGTTCGATTTACGTTGGCACCAATGCCTACACTCAATGAGAAATATTTGACATTGAATAGCATTGTCGGACCAAAATTGTCACGGAACGTATGTGTCACACGTGTGACATATTCGGTCGAATATAATAAGCGTTTTACGAAATCTCGTATTTCATTAATGCAATTTATAAGAAGGGAGACAACCCTGGTATGTCATTAAGTTTTCATATTTTATACTATTCATCTCCCTTTACAAGTCAGGTGTCTTCTATAAAATTTTGCTTTGTGTTCATTTCCGTTTAAAAAAAATGAATGCATGTTTTACATTGTTTGTGAATATCTTATTTATGTTCACGTCATACTGAAAGTTTTGTAATGCTTATATTTAAGCAGTTATTTGTGAATTTCTCTTCCGCCATCCGATGCACATGGTTTTCTAGGAACTAAATGGCTGCAATATTGCAATATTCTGACGATATAGTTATACAATTTTCTTTTGTTTCGAATGACTTATTTTGTATGTATAATTGCTTCTTCATCAAATCAATCTAAAGGTATAGTTACTCTAAATGTAAACAATATCATAATTTAACAGCTGCCTGCATTAACAGTCATGTTACAGTCATGTGACCAAAATGTCATAGGCGATCTTACCTCAAGTACTGTTTTGGCTACATGCGACACAAGTATAAATTGCAAATTTGTTTTAAGTGAAGGACACTAACTCTGGCATTGCTGCGGGAATCAACAGGTGAACAACTCGCACGGACAAGTAAGAAGGTTTAAATTCCCTCTCCCTATCAGAGTTTGGGGCATAAAAATTGGATATTTTATCTTCGAGTCAATAAATATTTAATTGTCCAAATTAAATTTAACTAAGCTAATCACTGTGTATCGACACAGTGTCATCTTACTCGGAAAGGGCTTAATCTAATATTGTTAAGAACTTGTTGCCCAACCTATTTTGCATTTTTGATATATATACTCATTATTTGTAAATAATTGTTTGTTAACATGAGTATTTAATGCAACAACATATGTTTAATAAATTAAAAAAAAAATCTTACTGGTAAAATGAATAAGCAGGGCGGCGTCGAACAAATTTATAAAAAATATATTGCTGTTTTGGCGATGACGATGGCGATGTTTTTGATGATATTGATGATGATGATGATGATGATGTTGTTGTTGTTGTTGTTGTTGATGATGATGATGATGATGATCATATGATGATGATGTTGTTGTTGTTTTTGTTGTTGTTGTTGTTGTTGTTGATATTGATGATGATGATGATAATGATGATGATGATGATGATGATGATGATGATGATGAAGTATTCTTGACGTTGATGTAGGCAGGTTAAAACGACGATAATAATATTAGTTTACTGTGTAAAATGTGTGACATATACGGACAGGCATTTACTTCCAAATTGCAGAAACGTGTATGGCTTATATAGATAGCTGTGATTAATTCGGCCGAATATGTCCCACAAGTGTGATATACGCTCCGTGACATATACGGTCCGACATAGCATCCTTATCAATCTGCCAGTTGTTTAATTAGTAATTGCCCTTTGATTAAGAAATTCCGCACGGAATCACATCTTGTACATGTTTGTTTATTATGCAAATTGTATAAATTTAATGTATACCTCAAAAGTTAAAGTAATGTGAAAGGCTTTCTCAAAATATTCAAAGTTTATATTCTTTGAATACAATATACGCGACGCGCCATTGCCATTATACAATGGACATCGTGCGAGGTATATATATCCATTTTTCCATACTTTTTCTGTTATTTTCCTTTTGTATTCAAGCCTATAAATTATCATACTCACATACTTTTATGAGTATACAGTAATAATAAATCCAGGGTGATATAAAGTTCATAAACATTGAAATGGTTCAAGACAAACATATCGTGAGAAACGATTTATGTTAAAGGCACAGAAGGGCCTAGAATTGCATAGATATTTCCTTATTTTGAAACGGCCAACATTAATGATATAACGTTGGATACTAATTTCTGAGGCATTCTTTGACCATTATTAAGTAATTAAGTAATTGCTTAAAGGCACAGTATATGTCGCAAAATTTCGTGTATATTTATAATTCGTTATAAGTGGCAAACAAGTGTTTAATAAAGTTTCGACAATGAATTTAGAACATGTTACGTGTTTAACAGGCGAAGAAAGTAGCGATTAAATTGAGTTATGTGCCGTGCTAACTGTACACATAGTTTTATTTTAACTTCCATACAAAATAATAATTCACTTTATTTAAAGCAATTGCCAACAAAGCTAAAGAACCAAATTTAGTAATAAGATAACAAAATGTTTTTGAGAAATGCAAATCATAGCATTTCTGAGGCACAATGAGGCATAATGGACCTTTAAGATTGTGTACAGGCTTATTATATATGATGAAAGTAATGCTGCATGTGGAGTTTGAATTTGCCATGAAAGTAGCATATGTAAACAATGTAGTATTCTGACTCAAAAAATGAATCACTGTAACTATGCAAATTGCCGTTAGGCAACATAAGTAAAATATAATTCAGGTAATTGGTCAAAAAGTAACATTCTAGAAACTATAACAGGACGAAATAACGATTCTCAGAAATAAGAATAACAGCATTTCTTGTATAAAGGGCCTTTAATAACTAATGTGTAATTTAATATCATGTTCCTGAGATTCAACGCTCTCAACAGGCATCTGGCAGCAACTAGATATTGTTGTGAAAACAACATACATGTTAAGTTTTCTACTCATATCTACTGCGTAAAGATATGTTTCAGTATAGAGTATGCAAGATACCGGATTCTTTCTATGAGGGCATCAAAATATCTAAGATCAAATAAGACAAATCAATGCATTACGGACCGGCTGTAATTTGAAAAAGAGGAAGGTTATAGTCAATACTGAGTCCATTTATCAAAAGTCACGTGAATAATGATAGAAATTCGTTACACAAATTTATTTACTTTATTATAACACTACAGGAGAGGAACTGTCACACGGGGGATTAACTTGTCTGAAGTTATTCTGATAACTGTCATGGAGTTCCTGGAAAACGTTACGGGTTTCGTCGGGAAACTTCTGTTTATACCGAAGAAGTATTTGTAAAAAAACGGTAATTTTCGAGTTTGACGTGCTAAATTACAAAAACCTAGCTTATGGTAACTGTGAACGGCCGCGACCATCCTCTGCATGAGGTATACTTTTTTTTTGCTTGACGTTTTCTTTCCTTGCACTGGTGAAAATGTAGAGTAAAAACATCTGTCTGATATGCATGAATTGTTTCTTCTTTGTTATGTTTAATGTTAGATCTACTTAAATTATTTAACCTGAAATATGTTAACATCCACAATTAATTCAAATGAAGACGTAAAGAATATACATAATGTTACCGTTGTCACTGTTGAAATGATTTTGTCAGGATCACTTTTAAGGCTACTGAAGTTAAATGGTACGGTAATTTACCATAAAACTTAATCAATGAAAAAGAATATAAACACTTGAAAATACCAAAACGCTCAAGTACAGTTAATCTTATTTATTAAGATCTTCTGTTAAATAAATGCATAAAACAGGATAATTAAATACTGTAAAAACATGTAAATTATTGCCCTTGGTATAGTTATTGTAGATCTAATGAGTTCGTCAATGTAAAGTTGTAAAAGAAGGGGTTATATGAACGTATTTCGCGTAAATTACAGTTAAAGTCTTCTAGCGGAATATTTATTTAGCGGAATGTTCAAGTTTTGACGGATTTCCGTTGTTTGGCGGATTTTTAGTTAGGGTTGAGCTACTGTTCAAATAATAACCTTGTTAGTCCGTGTTTCACGGTTGGAAAGCTGCTCAACTGAATTGAGCGTCTGTATTTATAGACTTTGGCGTGTTAATTCCGAAATGAAATTGCCCGCCGCTAAAACATTCAAAAGTACTCTTATCCAATAAGATTCGACAACGGAATTAGTTAACCAATCACAGCGTTCCGCTAAACATAGCACAGTCATGGCTCATACGCCGTCAGACAAAAATAGATCCGTCAAGGATCCGCTAAAATGTTATTATTCTTTTATAGAATAATAAAGACATAAAATATCGGCAGATTTTTATATAATAGTCACTCTTTTTCCAAAATATGATTATGGTAGTTTCGTTGCATTACAGTACTTTCTCGGAATTTGGCCGGATATGGAACTTATTTCCGCTGAATCCGTCAGCTAGAAAATGTAAATAATACACACCTTTGTGTTCTAGTGACACTTCTAGTGTACACTTTCTGCATCTATTGTAATGGAATAATAGTTCAGGTATATTTCTACATATCTGATCGTTATTATTGTTATTCTTTGGTCAGTTGAGTATCTACGCTCAATTGTCAGGTTATTTCGCGACCCGGATCATGTTCACAAAGTTCTGAACGATATTTCAATGTTTCTTTAACTCGAATCATTGAATACTTATACTGTTTACTGTTAGATATATAGTTGATAAACAACCACACAAATCACGGAAATGACAGAGCAGAATTCAAGTAAAGGAAAGGTAAAATCTCGTCACACTGTCAAATTGTTTACATGTCTATCCATAACACTTCCCCCTCCTTATTTAAAAGAATATCCTCCTGGATAATGTTACTAATGAAAATGTTTTTACACATGTCATACCAAGGGCTACGAAATTTAAATTAAATTATTTATAAACAATATCAACAAACAATATTTTAGAACACCAATGCATTATTTTTCATAAATCTGTCAATAAAAATATCTCTTATAGTTTATGCTCTAGGTTATTTTAAGAGTTTTCTATTAAAGTCACACAACTGTCACATGTATTTTCTTTCTTTAAAAGATATTTTGTGCACTATGAAATAAATAAAACATTAAGGTTAACAACGAAAACATTTAAAATGACACAATGTACATGTAGTAGTACACATCACGCAACACATGACAGTGTAATTTATGTTTTTCACTTTTCACACATTATAACTGGATAAATCATTAAATAACACTTTATTTTGTCTATGGCCACTCATTTAAGTTGTTTTCTAAAGTCATTCACATTAACATTCATCATATTTTGTCGCTTCACTTATTCACATATAACTCAATATAACCATCTGATTTCACTTACACTTTTATCTAAATATAACTATCTGAATTTACGTAATCACATATAACTCGATATAACCATCAGATTTCACTTAATCACTTTTATCACAATATAACCATCTGATTTTACTTAATCACTTTTATCTCAATATAACCATCTGACTTTACTTAATCACTTTTATCTCAATATAACCATCTGACTTCACTTAATCACTTTTATCTCAATATAACCATCTGACTTCACTTAATCACTTTTATCACAATATAACCATCTGATTTCACTTAATCACTTTTATCTCAATATAACCATCTGACTTTACTTAATCACTTTTATCTCAATATAACCATCTGACTTTACTTAATCACTTTTATCACAATATAACCATCTGATTTCACTTAATCACTTTTATCTCAATATAACCATCTGACTTCATTTAACCAAATATAGCTCAATATAACAGTCTGACTTCACTTTATCACATATAACACTTGTCACACACTTCACAATGTTCATGTATTAAATAGCTTTAGAATGAATTTTATAAATCTCATAACATTACTCATCACAAAAACAAAACATGTAGAATTTTCACTTCAACAATGATTTTTTTTGTATACATTTAATTAATTTCACTCTGTTAATCACTGTTTTGGGAACTGACTACTTCCTTCTTTATCCACATGGGGATATTCTTACCCGAATATGGCCACAATCTGTCAATGTGATAGGCTTTTGCTTTTTGTTTGCTGGAACGTTTAACACAACATATCAAATCATCAAGAACACTTGTAATTATGTAGGGACCTTTCCATTTATTGATCAATTTTGAACATATTCCCTTCTTTCTTGTTGGGTCATGTAGCCATACTAATTGACCTTTATGATATCGTCTTTGTTTGGCATTTGTATCATAATGTCTCTTTTGATAATTTGCGACACGACCAATATTTTGTCGTGCAAATTGATGAATTTGACTAATTTTATGTTTCAGCATATCTGTATAACTGTCACTATCATATTGATCTGTGTTTTGTTCAGGGATTCCCACTACTGCATTTAAAGGTAGTGTTACTTCACGACCAAATAACATTTTATTTGGTGATACTTTAGTTGAGCTGTGCTCAGAACTTCGGTAGGCCATCATCACCAATGGTAGGTAATCATCCCAACTTGACTGATCTTTCGAACAGTATGCGGCTAACATGGATAGTATCGTACGGTTACTTCTTTCTATAAGGCCATTGGCTTGTGGTCTTAGACTTGTTGTACGCGTCTTTTCTATACCAAGGAAATCGCAAAGCTCCATTATCAATTGCGACTCAAAGTTTCTGCCTTGATCTGTGTACAATTGTAGTGGTACACCAAACCTTACAACAAAATTATTTACAAATGCTTCAGCAACAGTTCTAGCATCCTGGTTTGGTATTGGGACACTTTCGGTCCATTTTGTGAACCAGTCTGCAATTACTAATATATATTTGTTTCCATTTTTAGAAACCGGAAGTGGACCTAAAATATCCATGGCAACACTTTCCATAGGCATGCCTACAATATACTGTCCTAATGGTGCTTTATTATTTTCTTTTGACAATTTTCGTGCTGTGCATGTATCACAGGCCTTACAATACAGCTTAATACTATCTGCAACACCAGGCCAGTAGAAACCTTGTCTGACCTTATATAATGTCTTTTCAAACCCAAGATGTCCAGATGACGGAATATCATGGGCTAAAGTCACACATATTGCCTGTCAAATCTTATAATGCGCTGCCCTTCATAAAAACCTAAAAAAACAGGCACTCTTTAAAATAAAAATAAAAACAATCGTTCGGAGTTTAACTTTGATATTTTCAAATTAATGAAAATATGAAACCGTATAGTATTTATTTAGTTATTTTTCTCTTATTCATCTTCATATTTGCGTATCTATTTACCTTTTCTTTATTTTTTGTTTTTTTTTAAATTGGATTTGGTACTTTTAAATGGATACAAGGGGGTTTTTACCCCAAAGTATGGCTTTTTCCGTAAAAATTGGGTCTAGGGGAGAAAAACCAAAAATTTCAAAAAGCCTTGGTTTAAAAATTAAAATCAACAAAAACCCGCCCCGAAGGTAGGTTTTAAAAAAATTTACGGGCATCTACCCCAGAGAGATGTTCCCCAATGAATAAAAACTTTTAAAAACAAGCAAGTATAAAAAAACCCCCTTTAAACTGAGAGCGAATTTTTTGGGAAAACTTTCCCACAAGACTTTATCAAGACGATTACAAATTAAAACATTTCATATATAAATTTCCTAGTAAATGTGCAAACACTTGTTGTAAGTGCTTATCTCCACATACTTCCTGTCATAAATATCAGAAAACGTAAATTTCTACTGAAATAATGCACTCCCTTTTAATTTAAATCGTGAAGATGAAATCGTGATTTCCGGAAGTTGAAATCGTGAATTCCGTATATTGAAAACTTGAAATCAAGAAGTTAAAATTGTGATTCACAAACTTCAAGATGAAATTGGGAATTTATGAAGTTGAAATGTTCATAGCGGTCTATCGTGAAAGTGGCATGCCAGTACCATGCCCGTCATTTACTAGTCCAAATAAAAAAGGATTGTAAATGGATATTTTAGGGACTGATAAAAGCTGGTTTCAGGGTTACAGTCTCAAACATGTGTGGGTAGAATTTTAATTTTTCTATTATGTTTTTAAAGAAAACAGCCATATCGCATTATAACTGCAATAACAAAGAAATTTTTTTAATGTAACTAAAAACATTACGGTGGACAGGGCTTCTATATGTATGGTCGGTATGTCCAAACCACAGGATATTTCAGGCCCTAAAGATTAATATAATTAAGTTGTGTTCATAATTATTAAAAGTCTTACTAATTTTAATCGAGGAATGAGAAGTTATCTTTTGTTTGTATCATAGTTTGGGGACCTTTCTGTTGAAAATGTGTCAGTGTTAAATCGTATACATATACATGCACAGTGCGTTAACTGGAGTGCGTGTATTAGTTACCCGCACTCCAGAGCATGCCCATTGATTGGCTCATTTTTGCTGGGGTTTACATATTGTGACGGCAGAGAAAGGGAAAGCGACAGAAATGTCATATTCAGATGTTCGTTCATTGGTTCATTTTTGACGGGGTTTCATATTGTGACAACAGGGAACGTGCTTTTATGTTTGACTATGATACAAAAGAGAAAGAACACCAAAACACTCGGCAATCTGATTAATACTCGGGGGCTACGCCCCCTCGTACAAATCAGATAGCCTCGTATTTCGATGCTCTTTCTATTACTAAGCACAAATGCCGATGGTCATATTTTTAAATGGCGTATATGAAAATTATAGACAAAGAAGTTTGTATTTTTACATAACGTCATTCAAGCCTCTACTAACGAGGAGTCGTTTAAGGCAGGTTAAAGTGACATAATGCTCATATTTTCATGGTCAATTTGAGCTGAATTGACTTTATGTTTGAAAAGAATGACTGTTAAAATGGTGTTTGACCAACAGTTGATATTGGAAAATGTTTAGGATGAAATTATAAATCTGTCTAAAATTTAAACAGACTGCCCAACTCTTTTTATAAACTATTCGTTTTAGGTAGATCCTAAAGGATAACTACAGAAATTTCGTTTGGATCTGTGATTGTTTATGCGAATTTAATTATTAAATTAAAAGGAATTATGGCAAAATGAAACTTATTTTGACTTTCACCCGTTCAATCACTATATACCCTTGGATGGGCATAATGTCAAATTATTATTATTATTATTATCATTATTATTATTATTATTATTATTATTATTATTATTATTATTTCTACAAGCATTGCATACATTTGTTTCAGTACCGTATAGTCATGGACTATTTATTTCAATACTTATTCCTTCTAGTTATTAAAAATAATTATATATAACTTTTTTACTATCACCACATTTGATTAATTACATAAGAAATTTATGTGAAAAAAACAACAACAACAAAAAAAAACATCATCAACAAAAGAAAAACACCTTGAATTGAACTGATACAGTACTGTGTTTAAAGAGCATACCGAAAACTAATTTGTTTTTTTAAAGGGCGACAACTGATGTATTCTTTGTTGTAATTGTATAGGCAGATTTGCTGTTCTTTTTATTCAACTTGGTTCACACAAAAAATTTTCAATTTACATTGTTACTTTTGTTACACGCAGATATCGTTCACATTTGATTTTGTTCGGGGAAATGTAGAAAATATTCAACAAAATCGATGTTTAAGTATATAAGTAAATTTTGCTACCCATATGTATCTTTTTACTTCGCTATTTGATGTCATAATTGTACATAAATACCAACTTCGAGATAGTTTTCTTGCAATAATGAATAATTTATTGATAGTATGTTTGTTGTAAAACGTGGTATTGCTTTCCATATTGCATGATGATGATGATTAAAATGATGATTATGATGATGATTTTATTTATAAAGAAACATATCCAATTAAGGCATTCACAGAAAATCATGAGTCGCGGGCATCATCAACAGAGTGAAGATTACAAATAATGGGGCATAAAAAATCAGTGACTTTGTACTTGCAGACATTTCATGATATGATTTATTTTCTCTATAGCTATTTATATTTGTATACAATTTATAGTAGCATACTAAACATATCTTATTTGACATAAAGGTGTCACTAAAAGTTTAAACGCAATATGCTATGACTGGATAAATGTTTATTTTGCAATAGAATTGTTTATAGTCAAACACAGTCAGCAGGCAAGCTAAAAGTGTTCAAGATTAAATATGAAAAGTCAAATTTGCTTATACACGTTCTATTTCTAATATAAACTGAGATAATACTTACGTTATTTTGCCGAACGAAGGAAAAGATTGGTTTGATTGGCTCCTTGTATTACATTGACGCAATATTAGCCAAACGTCAAGCAGTACGTAACAGTATATTAAGTTCTCACATATATGTTATATGATTTTTTTTTGTAGCTTTTATAAGTCTTGACATTGAGACTGACGGCGGACATTAACTTGAAAATATAATCATATAATAAAGCAATATATATTTTGTAATTCGTTGTATGTATTTTCAAATCGAATGTACAATTCAATGATTACAGTTTCTATAGCAACGTGTTTGAATACATTAATAACATGTCAGGATCATTAGAAGTAAAGCGTCATCATCCATGTACTATTTTCTTAGTAGTATTACAAAGGAAGTAATTTAAACTGCTTTTATTCACCTTTTTGAAATTCGAATAGCGCATAATGATAGATATGTGAGTAACTTTATCAAAAATGTAAGGCAAATGAGCAAGCCATTAAAATTTAATGTTTTGCCGTTACTCTAGATTGTAACATGTAATGACTGTTCTATTGCGGTTTGCCGTATACAACAACGTATTTGTTAAAATGCGCATAAAGAACTTAACAAAGGGACTTATTTCTAAAAGGTAGTAAATGAGAACACCGTACCTTTTTCTTAAAAGCATGTTCTAATTTGAATTTTAAAAAGAACGATTAGATTTTCAAAACCGGTAAGTGATAAGTTTTCTCTAAATAAAACATGCATCTACCTATTAAATGATTGCTACGTTATTATATTTTATTTAGAGCAGACAGCACATGTCAGCTCACGTCCATTAACGTATGGTGGGCATCGTAATGATCCACAGCGTGCTTCAGCAAAATAGAACAGTTTTCCATCTTTACTCGCGTGTCCGCCTTCCACTACCTCCGGTTGCGCATCAAGACAAACGAATTCAGCAGCATGATGTGTATCATGTCCGCCCGACAGGTAGCCTTCATATTCCAATGTCCATCCATCATAGCATTTATTCCGGCCTGGGACCAATAGAACGCTTGCCTTGTTCGTACGACATACACAACATGGAACGTCATGATTAACCAGTTCTTTTCCAAAGAAATTATTCATATTTCTACCATACAATTCATCATATTCTGCTCCCCAGACTGTGCCTGCGTCCTGCTCAGCGTCTTCGTATACATTCCACAACGGTTCTTCCGGTAGACATAAATAGTTGGCGGAAGCTCCTTTATTACTATAATGGGAACCACCAGCGTAACCTTTGTAAACCAACTCTGTTCCATTTTCTGGACATTGTGTTCTTCCCCATCTCACATACGTATTTCCCGTTCCGGCTAGTGAATTCAAACTTTCAATTGTTCTCACTTTATCCTCAATGGTTTTCAACACGGACTTGTCCTGATTGCTCTCATCTGTAATATAGTATATGCAGTTCTTAATTTAGTGTTCTATAAATTATACTTCCAATAATACTTTAAATATGTGGTTCGGGAGATTATTAAGAAAAGATACCCTGAATCTGTAATCATGCTAGCCGTTTAAAAAGTGATAAAGAATGACTCATTCCCATAATTATACTAATACACAATCTTATGAAAGAAAGCATTGCACTAGTTATATGATGGTTTAGGAAATAAGAGTAAATGATTTATAACTAGTCCTTTTTGTTTAGACAATAAATATCAAAGAAGAATAGTAAAAATGCTGTAAATGTTCTTTAAGCTTAGGCGTGTGTGCTAAAAAAAAACGCCAACGTAAATTGCTCAGTGTGATTCAGTATGCGCTTTAAAAATGACGAAAAATACATGTTCGATATCATCGACTTTAGCGGAATCCTCAATCTTAAAAATATTAGATTTAATGACTTTAAAGATATAAAATACAATGTCATAACACTGTTCACAAATTATAATTTGGAAACAAAGTAGATATAAAATTAGAGTCGAAATAATTCATTAAGAATATATATCAAATGTCAGTTATGTCAGATCATATATACCTATCTTATATAATTGTTAACACATTACCTTTCTGTTTAGAAAGCGCCGCTTTAATTTCCTCCAACATGGTTTTAGTATTTCTTTGTTCAATTTCTAACATTATCATTTTCTGTAACATTTTGTGGTCATAGTCAAATCGTGAAGTACATACTGGTTCTTCTTGGTTTGCAAAAGCTATTCCTACAAACAACACAAGAATAAGTACAATACGTAAATACAAATTTACACAATTCATTTTGCTTGCAATTTTGCTTCCAGTTAGCAACGTTTACTCTTTACAAGTAAAAGAAAAAAGGCCACAGGAACAGCTTTACTGTAAAAGTAAACTCCTTGATATTTGCGAATCTATTTTTTTTTATTTCATGCGTCACATTAATTAGATGCATATGCTTCAATGTAATGAATCCTTTACTTTGTTAAAAAGCACTTATATATTGATGTCCATACAAAGTTCGATTAACGTTGGCATCAATGCTTACACTCATTGAGAAATATTTGACATTGAATAGCATTGTCGTACCAAAAATGTCACGGAACGTATGTGTCACACGTGTGACATATTCGGTCGAATATAATAAGCATTTTACGAAATCTCGTATATCATTAATGCAATTTATTAGAAGGGAGACAACCCTGGTATGTCATTAAGTTTTCATATTTTATACTATTCATCTCCCTTTACAAGTCAGGTGTCTTCTTTAAAATTTTGCTTTGAGTTTATTTCCATCATAAAGTTTAGTTTAAAAACTTATAAATTATGAATGCATGTTTTACATTGTTTGTGAATATCTTGTTTATGTTAACGTCATATTGAAAGTTTTGTAATGATTATATTATAGCAGTTGTTTGTGAATTTCTCTTCTTCAACCCGAAGCACATGGTTTTCTAGGAACAAAATGGCTGCCATATTGCAATATTCTGACGATAAAGTTATTCAATTTTCTTTTGTTTCGAATGACTTATTTTGTTTGTATAGTTGCTACTTCATCAAATCAATCTAAATGTATAGTTAGTCTAAATGTAAACAATATCATAAACAGCTGCTTGCATTAACAGTCATGTTACAGTCATGTGACCAAAAATGTCATAGGCGACCTTAGCTTTAGTACTGTTTTGGCTACATGCGACACAAGTATAAATTGCAAATTTATTGAAGGACACTAACTCTGGCATTGCTGCGGGAATCAACAGGTGAACAACTCGCACGGATAAGTAAGAAGTTTAAATTCTCTCTCCCCCTCAGAGTTGGGGGCAAAAAAATGGATATTTTATCTTCGAGTCAATAAATATTTATGTCCAAAATATTTAACTAAGCCAATTACTGTGTATCGACACAGTGTCATCTTACTGGGAAGGCCTTAATCTTATATTGTAAGAACTTGTTGCCCAACCCATGTGCATTTTTATATACTCATTTTTTGTATAATATGTTTGTAAACATGTATTTAATGCAATCACAGATGTTTAAATGAATAAAAATCTTACTGGTAAAATGATAAGCAGGGCGGCGTCGACAAATTTATAAAAACAGATATATTGCTGATTAACGATGACGATGATGATGTATCATTGATGATATTGATAATGATGTTGTTGTTGTTGTTGTTGTTGTCGTTTTGTTGTTGTTGTTGTTGTTGATGATGATGATGTTGTTGTTGTTGTTGTTGATGATGATGATGATGATGATGATGATGAGATGATGATGATGATGTTGTTGTTGTTGTTGATGATGATGATGATGATGATAATGTATTATTGACGATGATGTAGGCAGGTTAAAACGTCGATGATAATGTTAGTTTACTGTGTAAAATGTTTGACATATACAACCAGGCATTTACTTCCAAATTGTAGAAACGTTTATGGCACATAAAGATAGCTGTGATTTATTCGGCCGAATATGTCCCACACGTGTGATATACGCTCCGTGACATATACGGTCCGGCTTAGCATCCTTATCAATCTGCCAGTTGTTTAATTAGTAATTGCCCTTTAATTAAGAAATTCCGCACGGACTCACATCTTGTACATGTTTGTTTATTATGCAAATTGTATAAATTCAATGTATACCTCAAAAGTTAAAGTAATGTGAAAGGCTTCCTCAAAATATTTCAAAGTTTATATTCTTTGAATACACTATACGCCACGCGCTATTGCCATTATAAAATGGACATCGTGCAAGGTATATATATCCAATTTTCCAATTTTTTTTCTGTTATTTTCTTTTTGTATTTCAAGCCTATAAATTATCATACTCACATACTTTTATGAGTATACAGTAATAATAAATCCAGGGTGATATAAAGTTCATAAACATTGAAAACATATTATCGTGAGAAAGATTTATGTTAAAGACACAGAAGGGCCCAGAATTGCATAGATATAACGGCCAACATTAATGATATAAGTTGGATTTAAATTTCTGGGGCATAAGGTGCTTCTTTGACCATTATTAAGTAATTGCTTAAAGGCAGAGTATGTCGAAAAATTCCGTGTATATTTGTAATTCGTTATATAAATGGCAAACAAGTGTTTTATAAAGTTTTAACAATAAATTTAGAACATGATACATGTTTAACAGACGAAGAAAATAGCAATGAAATTGAGTTATGTGTCGTGGTGGCAGCTGACTGTACACACAGTTTTATTTTAACTTCCATACAAAATAATAATTCTCTGTATTTAAAGCAATTGCCAACAAATTTAGTAATAATATAACAAAATAAAAAGTTTTTGAGAAATACAAATGATAGCATTTCTGAGGCATAATGAGGCAAAATGAATCTTTAAGATTTTGTACAGGCTTATTATACGAAGCAAAAATGCTGCATGTGGAGTTTGAATTTGCCATGACAGTAGCATATGTAAACAAAGTAGTATTCTGACTCAAATAATGAATCACTGTTACTGTGCAAATTGCCATTAGGAAACATAAGTAAAAGATTATTCAGGTAATTGGTCAAAAAGTAACATTCTGGAAACTATTACAGGACGAAATAACGATTCTCAGAAATAAGAATAACAGCATTTCTTGTATAAAGGGCCTTTAATAACTAATGTGTAATTTAATATCATTTTCCTGAGATTCAACGCTCTCAACAGGCATCTGGCAGCAACTAGATATTGTTGTGAAAACAACATACATGCTATGTTTTCCACTCATATCTACTGCGTAAAGATAGGTTTCAGTATAGAGTATGCAAGATACCGGGTTCTTTCTATGAGGGCATCAAAATATCTAAGATCAAATAAGACAAATCAAGGCATTACGGACTGGCTGTAATTTGAAAAAGAGAAAAGTTAAATATTCAATATTGAGTTCATTTATCAAAAGTCACGTGATTAATGATAGAGATTCGTTACACATATTCATTGATTTTATTATAACCCCACGAGAGAGGAACTGTTGCACGGGGGACTAACTTGTCAGAAGTTTTTCTGATAACTGTCATGGAAACCGTTACGGATTTCGTCGGGAAACTTTTGTTTATACCGAAGAAACATTCGTCTAAAACGGTAATTTTCACCTTAAAAAAAGGGGTTTGGTGTGCTTTATTAAACTAAGATATACGAAAACCTAGCTTATGGTAACTGTGAACGGCCGCGACCATCCTCTTCATGAGGTATAAGACGTTTTCTTTCTAGCACTTGTGAAATTGTAGAGTAAAAACATCTGTCTAATATGCATGAATTGTTCCTCTTTCTTATGTTTAATGTTAGATCCACTTAAATTGTTTAACCTGAAATATGTTAACATGCGCAATTAATTCAAATAAAGACGTAAAGAAGATACATAATGTATACGACTTACTTTGATGCATGGTTAATCGAAGATTAATGTTCTTACTCTCAATTAATCATGAACTTGATTATTGCCATAATCGAAGATTAATGTCCTTACTCTCAATTAATCATGAACTTGGTCATTGCCATAATTTTATAAAGAGAATAGTCCACAATATCGACAACTTATTAACTATTTCGTTTTTCAAAGTACAACCTCTCAGTGAGACTGGTTTGTGTTGGGGCTCGTCCAGTGAATATTGTTTATATTAGTTATAGACATATTATCAGTTCTCTTGAAAACCATCGCCGTATAGTCATCATCTTTTCACTTTACATTGTTTTATATATATATTAAATGCAAATTTAAATAACTATGTAGACTAAGTCATATATTATGTTATCAGCATAATGCACACGTTTCTATAGACCTAATTTACAATATTGTACAAGATTAAAAATTTTCTTGCAATAATGAATAATTTATTGATAGTATGTTTGTTGTAAAACGTGGTATTGCTTTCCATATTGCATGATGATGATGATTAAAATGATGATTATGATGATGATTTTATTTATAAAGAAACATATCCAATTAAGGCATTCACAGAAAATCACGAGTCGCGCGCATTATCAACAGAGTGAAGATTACAAATAATGGGGCATAAAAAATCAGTGACTTTGTACTTGCAGACATTTCATGATATGATTTATTTTCTCTATAGCTATTTATATTTGTATACAATTTATAGTAGCATAATAACTATATCTTATTTGACATAAAGGTGTCACTAAAAGTTTAAACGCAATATGCTATGATTGGATAAATGTTTATTTATTGTTTATAGTCAAACACAGTCAGCAGTCAAGCTGAAAATGTTCAAGATTAAATATGAAAAGTCAAATTTGCTAAAACACGACCTATTTCTAATATAAACTGAGATTATACTAACGTATATTTTGCCGAACGAAGAAAAAGATTGGTTTGATTGGCTCCCAGAATTACATTGACGCAATATTAGCCAAAGGTCAAGCAGTATGTAACAGTATAAGTTCTCACATATATGTTATATGATTCTGTAGCTTTTATAAGTCTTGAGACTGAGACTGACGGCGGACATTAACTTGAAAATATAATCATATAATAAAACAATATATATTTTGTAATTCGTTGTATGTATTTTCAAATCGAATGTACAATTCAATGATTACAGTTTCTATAGCAACGTGTTTGAATACATTGATAACATGTCAGGATCATTAGAAGTAAAGCGTCATCAACCATGTACTATTTTCTTAGTAGTATTACAAAGGAAGTAATTTAAACTGCTTTTATTCACCTTTTTGAAATCAGAATAGCGCATAATGATAGATATGTGTGTAACTTTATCAAAAATGTAAGGCAAATGAGCAAGCCATTAAAATTTAATGTTTTGCCGTTACTCTAGACTGTAACATGTAATGACTGTTCTATTGCGGTTTGCCGTATACAACAACGTAATTGTTAAAATGCGCAAAAAGAACTTGACAAAGGGAGTCTTTTCTAAAAATCAGAAAATGAGAACACCGTACCTTTTTGTATAAAAGCATGATCTTATTGGAATTTTAAAAAGAAAGATTAGATTTTCAAAACCGGTAAGCGATAAGCTTTCTCTAAATTAAACATGTATCTACCTATTAAACGATTGCTACGTTATTATATTTTATTTAGAGCAGACAGCACATGTCAGCTCACGTCCATTAACATATGGTGGGCATCGTAATGATCCACAACGTGCTTCAGCAAAATAGAACAGTTTTCCATCTTTACTCGCGTGTCCGCCTTCCACTACCTCCGGTTCCGCATCAAGACAAACGAATTCAGCAGCATGATGTGTATCATGTCCGCCCGACAGGTAGCCTTCATATTCCAATGTCCATCCATCATAGCATTTATTCCTGCCTGGGATCAATAGAATGCTTGCCCTGTTCGTACGACATACACAACACGGAACGTCATGATTTACCAGTTCTTTTCCAAAGAAATTATTCATATTTCTACCATACAATTCATATTCTGCTCCCCAGACTGTGCCTGCGTCCTGCTCAGCGTCTTCGTATACATTCCACAACGGTTCTTCCGGTAGACATAAATAGTTGGCGGAAGCTCCTTTATTACTATAATGGGAACCACCAGCGTAACCTTTGTAAACCAACTCTGTTCCATTTTCTGGACATTGTGTTCTTCCCCATCGCACATACGTATTTCCCGTTCCAGCTAGTGAATTCAAACTTTCAATTGTTCTCACTTTTTCCTCAATGGTTTTCAACATGGACTTGTCCTGATTGCTCTCATCTGTAATATAGTATGCAGTTCTTAATTTAGTGTTCTATAAATTACACTCCCAATAATGCATTAAATATGTGGTTCCGGAGATTGTTAAGAAAAGATACCCTTAATCTGTAATGAATGCTAGCCGTTTAAATAGTGATAAAGAATGATGACTTATTCCCATAATTATGCTAATACACAATCTTATGAAAGAAAGCATTGCACTAGTTATATGATGATTTAGGAAATAAGAGTAAATGATTTATAACTAGTCCTTTTTGTTTAGACAATAAATATCAAAGAAGAATAGTAAAAATGCTGTAAATGTTCTTTAAGCTTAGGCGTGTGTGCTAAAAAAAAACGCCAACGTAAATTGCTCAGTGTGATTCAGTATGCGCTTTAAAAATGACGAAAAATACATGTTCGATATCATCGACTTTAGCGGAATCCTCAATCTTAAAAATATTAGATTTAATGATCCCAAAGATATAAAATACAATGTCATAACACTGTTCACAAAATATAATTTGGAAAAAAAGTAGATTAAAAAATCATAGTCAAAATAATTCAATAAGAATATATATCAAATGCCAGTTTATGTCAGATCATATATACCTATCTTATTTAATTGTAAACACATTACCTTTCTGTTTAGAAAGCACCGCTTTAATTTCCTCCAACATGGTTTTAGTATTTCTTTGTTCAATTTCTAACATTATCATTTTCTGTAACATTTTGTGGTCATAGTCAAATCGTGAAGTACATACTGGTTCTTCTTGGTCTGCAAAAATTATTCCCACAAACAACACAAGAATAAATACAATACGTAAATACAAATTTACACAATTCATTTTGCATGTAATTTTGCTTCCAGTTTGTAAGTTTACTCTTTACAAGTAAAAGAAAAAAGGCCACAGGAACAGATTTACTGTAAATGTAAACTCCTTGATATTTGTGAATCTTTTTTTTCATTTCATGCGTCACATTAATTAGATGCATATGCTTCAATGTGATGAATTCTTTACTTTGTTAAAAAGCACTTAATATATAATTGATGTCCATACAAAGTTCGATTTACGTTGGCCTCAATGCACTCATTGAGAAATATTTGACATTGAATAGCATTGTCGTACCAAAAATGTCACGGAACGTATGTGTCACACGTGTGACATATTCGGTCAAATATTAAAAGCCTTTTACGAAATCTCGTATTTCATTAATGCAATTTATTAGAAGGGAGACAACCCTGGTATGTCATTAAGTTTTCATATTTTATACTATTCATCTCCCTTTACAAGTCAGGTGTCTTCTTTAAAATTTTGCTTTGAGTTTATTTCCATCACAAAGTTTAGTTTAAAAACTTATAAACTATGAATGCATGTTTTACATTGTTTGTGAATATCTTGTTTATGTTTACGTCATATTGAAAGTTTTGTAATGCTTATATTATAACAGTTGTTTGTGAATTTCTCTTCCTCCATCCGAAGCACATGGTTTTCTAGGAACAAAATGGCTGCCATATTGCAATATTCTGACGATATAGTTATTCAATTTTCTTTTGTTTCGAATGACTTATTTTGTATGTATAGTTGCTACTTCATCAAATCAATCAAAATGTATAGTAACTCTAAATGTAAACAATATCATAAACAGCTGCCTGCATTAACAGTCTTGTTACAGTCATGTGACCAAAATGTCATAGGCGACCTTAGCTCAAGTACTGTTTTGGCTACATGCGACACAAGTATAAATTGCAAATTTGTTCTAAGTGAAGGACACTAACTCTAGCATTGCTGCGGGAAGCAACAGGTGAACAACTCGCACGGATAAGTAAGAAGTTTAAATTCTCTCTCCCCCTCAGAGTTGGGGGCAAAAAAATTGGATATTTTATCTTCGAGTCAATAAATATTTATGTCCAAAAATATTTAACTAAGCCAATCACTGTGTATCGACACAGTGTCATCTTACTGGGAAGGACTTAATCTTATATTGTAAGAACTTGTTGCCCAACCCATTTGCATTTTGATATATACTCATTATTTGTATAATATGTTTGTAAACATGTATTTAATGCAATCACAGATGTTTAAATGAATAAAAAAATCTTACTGGTAAAATGATAAGCAGGGCGGCGTCGACAAATTTATAAAAAATATATTGCTGATTTACGATGACGATGATGATGTATCATTGATGATATTGATAATGATGTTGTTGTTGTTGTTGTTGTTGTTGTTGTTGTTGTTGTTGTTGATGATGATGATGATGTTGTTGTTATTGTTGTTGTTGTTGTTGTTGTTGTTGTTGATGATGATGATGTTGTTGTATCATTGATGATATTGATGATGATGTTGTTGTTGTTGTTGTTGTCGTTTTGTTGTTGTTATTGTTGTTGTTGTTGTTGTTGATGATGATGAAGATGATGATGATGATGTTAGTTTACTGTGTAAAATGTTTGACATATACAACCAGGCATTTACTTCCAAATTGTAGAAACGTATCGTATATGGCACATATAGATAGCTGTGATTAATTTGGCCGAATATGTCCCACACGTGTGATATACGCTCCGTGACATATACGGTCCGGCTTAGCATCCTTATCAATCTGCCAGTTGTTTAATTAGTAATTGCCCTTTAATTAAGAAATTCCGCACGGACTCTCATCTTGTACATGTTTGTTTATTATGCAAATTGTATAAATTCAATGTATACCTCAAAAGTTAAAGTAATGTGAAAGGCTTCCTCAAAATATTTCAAAGTTTATATTCTTTGAATACACTATACGCCACGCGCAATTGCCATTATAAAATGGACATCGTGCAAGGTATATATCCAATTTTCCATATTTTTTCTGTTATTTTCATTTTGTATTTCAAGCCTTTAAATTATCATATTCACATACTTTTATGAGTATACAGTAATAATAAATCCAGGGTGATATAAAGTTCATAAACATTGAAAACATATTATCGTGAGAAAGGTTTATGTTAAAGGCACAGAAGGGCCCAGAATTGCATAGATATTTCCTTCTTTTGAAAACGGCCAACATTAATGATATAACGTTGGATATAAATTTCTAAGGCATAAGGTGCTTCTTTGACCATTATTAAGTAATTGCTTAAAAGCACAGTATGTCGCAAAATTCTGTGTATATTTATAATTCGTTATAAATGGCAAACAAGTGTTTAATAAAGTTTCAACAATGAATTTAGAAAATTTAACAGGCGAAGAGAGTAGCACTGAAATTGAGTTATGTGTCGTGATATAGTTACACAAAGTTTTTATTTTAACTTCCGTACAAAATAATAATTCACTTTATTTAAAGCAATTGCCAACAAAGCTAAAGATCCAAATTTAATAATAAGATAACAAAATATTTCTTTTTTAGAAATACAAATGATAGCATTTCTGGGGCATAATGAGGCATAATTGATCTTTAAGATTTTGTAAAGGCTTATTATATGAGGAAAGTAATGCGGAGTTTGAATTTTCCTTGAAAGTAGCACATGTAAACAAAAGTAGTATTCTGACTCAAATACTGATACACTGTAACTGTTCAAATTGCCATTACGCAACATAAGTAAAAGATTATTCAGGTAATTGGTCAAAAAGTTCTCAGAAATAAGAATAACAGCATTTCTGGTATAAAGGGCCTTTAATAAGTAATGTGTAATTTAATATCATGTTCCTGAGATTCAACGCTCTCAATCGTTATAGGCATCTGGCAGAAACTAGATATTGTTGTGAAAACAACATACATGTTTTCCACTCATATCTACTGCGTGAAGATATGTTTCAGTATAGAGTATGCAAGATACCGGGTTCTTTCTATGAGGGCATCAAAATATCTAAGATCAAATAAGACAAGTCAATGCATTACGGACCGGCTGTAATTAGGAAAAGAGAAAGGTTATATTAATTACGTATTGAGTCCATTATTCAAAATGTCAGGTGAATTATTCCCTGCGGTCTGGAGACCGCAGGGTATTGGTACGCGTTTAACTTTTGAGGCATGGAGGAGCACGTGACCTGTTTTCGGTACATGGAGGAGCATGTGATCTGTAAACCGTACATGATTGGTTAATTGACCTTTTCGAAAACCTGGCTAAATACCGTTTGCCGGTACGTTACGGATTTACCTCTAGGGAATTAGTCAGAATTACACCTAATTAAGAACAAAAAACTATTACGTGATATTCCTAATTTTTTGTAATTATTTTACCGTTTAAGGTGGAAAAACTTTAATGATGTGTTTGAAAATTATCAATGTTTCTTTAATATCTCAAATTTTACAAACAATAGATTGTTTATACTGAAAATCTACAAAATTACAATATTCGTAGTGGCATCTGCCATAATAAATAGAGATATTTTCTGCGTAAACTTGTGTGTTTACTTTATTTTATTTTTTTGCTAGGAATTATTCATAAAATGGTAGGCCTATTTAATCATTTTCTTAAAAAGAAATAATTGATTTATGTTCGACCTTCTCCGGTCATCAACGGTCACCAGTTTCCAAAGATCTTCTTCTATATTGATCGATTATTGTCAACTATATTCCTGATACAAACGTTTATTTATCCCCCCACAATGTTGAAAATAGTTAAATAAAATATCTTTATATCATTAAAAATGTTCCCCGCAGGAAACCAGTTTACTTGTACACAAATTTATTGATTTTATTATAACACTACAGGAGAGTCGGACGTTATTCTGATAACTGTTATGGAGTTCATGGAAAACTTTACGGATTTCGTCTGGAAACTTTTGTTTATACCGAAGAAACATTCGTAAAAACTTTAAAAAAAGTTTGATGTGCTAAATTAAACTTAGATAACCGAAAACCTAGCTGATGGAAACTGTGAACGGCCGCATAGGGTATAACACTTTCCCAGCACTGGTGAAAACATCTGTCTGATATGCATGAATTGTTTCTTCTTTATTATGTTTAATGTTAGATCTTCTTAAATAGTTTAACCTGAAATATGTTAACAACTTAACATGCTCAATTAATTCAAATGAAGACGTAAAGAAGATACATTATGTATACGGCTTACACTGAGCCGTAACGTAGTTACATGGTTAATCGAAGATTAATGTCCTTACTCTCAATAAATCATGTACTTGAGCATTGCCATTATTTTATATAGAGAATAGTCCACATTACCGACAACTTATTAACTATTTTGTTTTTCGAAGTACAACCTCTTTGTGCTGGGGCTCGTTCTGTGAGTATTGTTTATATTTGTTCTCATATAAAGTAAAGACATGTTTTTGGTTACATTTTATCAGTTTATCTGTTTCTTGAAACTTGCCATTCTTTGTCGTTTGCATATTTTATGTATTATAAGAATCACTAAACAAGAAACACCATCGTCATATAGTCATCATCTCTTCATTATATATTGTTTTTTTTATATATTAAATACAAATTTAAATATTTATGTAGACTAAGTCATATATTATGCTAGCAGCATAATGCACACGTTTCTATAGACATAGTTTACAATATTGTACAAGATTAAAAATGTTTATTACCGCTAGGGTTTCCTTAAAGGGACTCCACTGAGGTTTAAAAGCCTAAAAACTTAACATTTGAATTTCTTACATAAATTAGCTGGGGCACTTTATGCAGAAATATATGCAAAGATAGTTAAGAAATATACTTTGAAATAAATTAAAAATCGTATTTGTATGCTTTTCTCAGCCTGATTTGAGTGAAAAGTGTATAAACGCTTTTAATTTTGGGTCATTTTTTTTTTACAATTTGAATAATTATTCTGGAGAAACAAAGTGCGCGAATGATCTGAAATTTTGCACAAAGATTAGTGGTCTAAACCTTCATCAAATGGTACATTTATCTGGAAAAAATATTTTCAGTCCCTTCATGTCTAAAAACCT